CAATGAAACCTTCCCTATGCACAGAAGCTCAGTATGTCAACTCCAAAGCTATGAGTATCACAGCCCCCGTCAAGGGCCGTGTCTGGTTAATGTCTTGGGGTGATGTGCTACCACAAATTGGCCGGACCGGAGCCAAAACAACTGACCGGGTGCGGAGACCCCTCCAAAAAACCGACCTGATTGGCTCCCTCCCCGGACCGACGTCACAACCTCGGCCCTGCAGTCAGAAACCAACATTCACTGAAGACACAATATCGAAACGAATATTCCAACCAAAAGCTACAACTGACTCACATTACCCAAACCATTCACCCGCCCTGAACCCCGGGAAACCGTTCTCCCGGGACTCTTCATATAAACTGCCCCTCAATCACCGCCTGCCCCGCATCCACATCCCTCCTCTCCCACATACACAAACAACGATCATGACCAAGCCCACCCCCCCCAACCCCCTGGGCATCGCCACCCTCAGCCTCGGCAGCGCAGCCCACCACAGCCTCGAAACGCGCCTCCACGCCGCCGCCGCAGCAGGATACACACACATCGACCTCTTCGACGACGACTGGGCCCGCTACCTGAGCGCGCACCACTCCCCGGCCTTACCCCCACCCCCGACCCCCTGGACGTCCACACCGGAAACCCTCCGCATCGCCGCGCAGCTCGGCTCCCTCGCCGCCTCCCTCTCCCTCAAGATCGCCTGCACGCAGCCCTGCCGCGAAATCGAGGGGATCCTGGACCCCACCGCCCGGCGCGCCGCCCTGGACTCCGTCGCCGCCCGGTTCCCCTTCATGCGGGCCTTCGGCACGGATCTCGTGTTCATGTGCGCCAACATCCGCACCGACGCGGGCGTCACCTCCGACCTCGCCACGGTAGCCAAAGATCTCGCCGAGCTGGGCGATATGGCGCGCGCGTACGCGGAGGCTGACGGCGGGCCGATGCTGAAGATCGGGTACGAGGGGCTTAGCTGGGCGCGGAGGAATACCTGGGCTAGTTCGTGGGAGGCGGTGCAGGCGGCGGACCGGGAGAATGTCGGGTTGGTCGTGGACGCGTTCAATGTTCTGGCGGTGGAGTGGGCGGATCCGTATGCTGCCGATGGGTCGGGGAGGGTGCATGGGGATTTGGAGGTGGCGAGGCGGGTGTTGAGGGAGTCGATGCGGGCGTTGGTGAGGTGTGTGCCTGCGGAGAAAATCTTTTTCTTTCAGGTGGGCGATGCGGTGAGGGTTGGGTTGGAGGAGGTCAGGGCTTGGGATGTGCAGGGCGATACGCCCAGGCTTTTGCCTTGGTCCAGGGGGTATCGGTTGTTCCCTGGGGAGAAGGAGAGGGGCGCTTATTTGCCGGTGGAGGTGGTGGCTGCTGCTGTGTTGGAGACGGGGTATGAGGGCCCCGTGTCGTTGGAGGTGTTCAATCACTCGTTGAATGAGAAGGATGCCTCGGTGCCCACGGTGCATGCCGAGCGGGGGATGAAGGGGCTGCGGTGGTTGTTGGAGGCGGTGGCCAACGTGCCGGCTTTGGGGGATGCGACTCAATAGTGGAGAGGACGTGGATGTTAGGAGAAACCGCATTTACGCTGTACTGTGATGCTAGATTGTGAGATACTGAGTGAAGAATCAAGTCAGACTTTGGTGTCTTGTTCGATGTGTTCTACATCATCCCGCCTAGGGCTCGAATCATATGGCTGGAAAACGACGATTCATCGCGTATACTAGAGTATCATAAACAATAGCACAGCATCGAGTAGCATGAGCATAACATCAAACAGAGAGCATCCTGAACAACACCAAGACAGCAACGGTTAACCAGCCCAATCTATCTACCGCGTCATATCATTATCATCCTCCAACCTAACGCCAAAAATGCAACGCCAATAACCAAATCAACCAACCTCTCAGCAATCATCCTCCTCCACCACCAACCGCTTCTGCTCCGAGCACTGCTCGCTCTGCGGCGACGACGGCGATCCATACTCCTCGCTGAGCGCCCTCCGATACGTCACAATCGCAATATAATTGTGCAACGTTCCCAACAGCTGCAACACCACCGCTGTCCAGACCATCCCCTGGAACGTATTGCCCCCGACCGCTGAGATCCCCTTTTCGCTGCCGGTTTCACTGATCAAATCCACAAATTCCTTGGCGATGACACTTGCGATGGTCGCCGCAATGCCGAAGCTGAACACGCTGGTCTGCTTGTCATTAGACATGGTCTTAAACCATACCGCGATGAACGGCAGGGGCTTACCAGGAAAGCATAGAACTCCACACTAGTCGGGGGCGACTCCAGCTCGGTCCCCGTGCCGGGGTAGCGTGGAGGCTGGGAGGCGTAATCCGGGCGCGAGGCGCGGGCGGACGCAATCGTCCAGATACGGAGGGCAATAGCCACAATGGCAGCCACGGTTCCGAAGATCAGGAACAGCACCATCGTAGTATTAGTGGGCTTCAAGGCGTGGAAGTCGTCGGTGATACAGGAAGGCCAGCTGCCGGGCTGGAGGCCGGTCGGAGGGTTGCCCAGCGCTTGCTGGATGGCGTCGCCAGGATTGAACTCGAACAGGACACTGCGGTCCGAGCACTCGGTGATGCGGTCCTGGATGGTCGTGGTGTTCGTCTTCTCGTCGATCACGCAGGTTTCCTGGTAGCCGACGCAGTAGGACATGGGATAGATGGTGAAGAAGTCTGGGGCCCCGTCACCGCCGGCGCCGCTGGTGTACAGCTATAAGACGCTTAGTCAGTAGATTGGTTCCTCAGTGCTGGGGCTGTCCATTACACACCGTCAAAAGATTGCCCTGCGGGAGGAACTGGCGTTGGCTCCCGGAGAATAGACACAGAATCCCCAGGAGAAACGCGGTGAAAGAGCCGATGACCGGCAGGAGAGAGCGTAGGGAGCTCATGTTCAATATAGTCTTCGTTGAGTGTTGTTGGTGTCGAGATGTGTTGCCCGCTGAAACATCGGGGTTTGGTCGCCAAGCTTCCTCATGTGCACCGTCCCGGGGGATAAAAGTGAATCGCTGATACAGTTCAGAGCCATCGGAACTCTAAGGACTGGCGCAATATATGGCACTGTGATCCCGACCCATGTTCCTCCATCCGGCGCCGTCTGCGGTGCCCAGCCGCCTCGATTTCAGGAATGCTGGGCACGGCCCCAAACGGACGATCGCCGGCTCCCGAGAGGGATGGAGCTTGGTATGGGCCTAGTTGACCAGGTCTACTCCCTCGGGTTGCTCTTGGAGATCAGTGATCTCGGCGATTGAGGTACGAGTAAGAAGAGGACGCCAAAGCGGCCGTTGCGGTCACCAACATTGCTTGCAGCCACCATTCGACCGGCCAACTGACACATGACCAGGAGATCCGAGGTGGAATCATCTCTGCATGAATGCGAGCTTCTGTCTATCATTGCCAAAATCTCGTGACCAGGGCGCCACAGCAAGACCTCTCCGATGCAACCGTTTTCGTGGTGAATAGATGGCAACCCAATTCAGCTAGGTGAAGGTTGATCCCGCAACGCCGAAGCGGATCTGGTATCCGCCCCGATCCCATCCTCCCACCCTCCCTCTGGAATGTCCCTGGAAGGCAGGGGCCAGCGTACCACCACAACAAATGCATCTCACGTTGCACGGGGAATGCTGGTGCAGATGGTACCTGAGCGCGATCGTCTCTCTTCTCGTGATTGATGGCTCAAGACTCCGGTACTCAAAAGGGCGGATTTTGGTACTTGGTAGATTCGGACCGGCTCGGCGGTGAATCGGAGGTTCCTGGGAAATTGGTTCCTGGCATGGGGTTGCTGTGGGAACTGAAGTACTACTTCATACGTTCATGAAAGTCTTGTCTGTGGGGTAGGCAATGAGCAGTGAAATCTCCTTGTGAACCCCTGACACTGACGCTGAGAAACAGTCGCAAGGACGCCTTTGATCCTGCCATCGATCATATAGTATGTGAGACTTATAGAGGGCTGGAAGACTCTCGACCGGTACTCCGGCCCATATAACTAGGTTCCGTGGCCGCTCTCGACCCAGCGGAATGATTGTGTAGCCAAGCCAACCTGTGTAGCATACTCCCTTGTAACAGTGCTTGTTATCCGTGGGGAGCCGGCCACGCCTGGTCGCAATTGAATTCTAACGTCCTCTGTAGAGGTAGGTAGCTTTCGGGCTGACTGGGGAGTGTCTTGGGGAGGCAGGAATATTCCCGTCCATGAACAAACCCATTGTTTTTATAACACCGCAAGCACATGGTGTTCAATCGATTTCGGTCCGAGCTCAGCTGTAATAGCTCGCCACTGACTGAAGTTCCACGGAATGTGCGAAGGTCACATCCGTCAATAGAAGGGGTCCAGTTCTTGTTAATGGGCCGTGTTCTCTGTCTGCTCTAAGCTGGGGTCGCTGTGGGACGGGAAGAAGAATAAGAGTTTCAAATTCCTGAGGGATGCGAGGTTGGGAAGATCTCTAGAAGCCAGTCAAACGGGTCCTTTTTGCTTTCCCTCTGACTCGGTGACTTGGAGGATGGAGATGTAGTAAGCGTACTAGGACATTGTTTGCGGCGGTGGTAAAGAGTAAAGCGTTGCCTTCGGAACTACTGTTTTTGATTTACTTTCTCGTACCCCGCACCTCAAAATGGCACCTTTGCTGACGCTTGTATGTTGGCCTTCCGTTGAGGCATACTATTCTCTAGTCCAAGCCTGGGTTTCGCAGTCTCAAGAAATGGTATCAACGCCATGTCGTGAAGGATGAAATCTCTGCAGCTACTGTAGATCAAAGTATGATCCATTTCTTCATCTCCTGGAGAAGGAGAGATGGGCCTGAAGGTGTTGACCCCAATGATGGCCGGCGGTTAAAGTTCGAGAAGCAGCCCCTACATAGCAACGCCACATCTTGTCTGATAGGAGTGGCAAAGATAATAGTTGGTTTTCCGAACCGTACGAAGTCTAATCATTCGTTCTTCGATGTTGACGCACGTTCCAGTTCTTGCTGAGCTGATGCGCATCGTTGGCTTGTGATCGTATCTGGTGTGGCTGGAGTGGCAGTCCACTGCTGCACGAAAGTTCTATTAATCTGATTGAGTTTCACATTCTATCTACCCTATGCTTCCTTCAGCTGTTCCGCTGGCTCGACAAGCGGCGCCAGCTTACTCTTCCTTCGTAGACGTGGGCCGTACACGTAGAAGAGTACAGGAATCGGAATCATCACTACCGCAATGCACCCAAGCAAGGTACCAGCCCATTGGATGCCTAAATTATGGAACATCTGCTCCGTGAAGAGAGGGAAAACTGCCCCTACCATGGACCGCATCATGGTATTGGCTGCGAAAGCCGACGCAGCACTGCAAAGGGTTAGTGAATGCGTTCATGGAAAGCGAGCTCGGAAGTTTAGCTTACAATTGCAAATACGAGTCCAGCAGATAGTTGAATCCCTGCATGAAAATTGAAGTGATTCCAAATCCGACCATGACCCCGGCGGCCGTAGGAGCCATCCAGTGAATCGAACTGTTCCAGCCTGTCCAACCGAACCTGCATGATCTGTCAGCACGCGATGAACCATGACAAGACGACGATTCCTACCAGAACAAGCCCCCTGCAAATGCCACACCACCGACAATACATGGCAGCAACCGCCATTCGGGAACGGGTACGTTGTTGTTGGCCTTCAGCTTCCGAGTATACGACCCTTGCATGGATAAGACAAAAGCGCTGCCAGATATCTCTCCGAGAATCAGGCCAATGAAAGGTAAACCGGCCACCCCTCCAGTCATACCATAGGTGCCGGAAAACACAATCGGGTATGCCTCGAGCAAGGCATAGGCTAACCCATAAATGAAAGACATATACAAAGTGAGCAGGAAGGCAATCGGTTCGGTGAAGAGAATCAAGAACGGGCGGGCCAGATTCTTCGTCACCAACTCCTTCAGGTCGATTTCCAATTCAGCCTGGCGTGCGTGAATGCCCCAGTTCCGAGTTTGGCGTCTGAGGATAGCTGCCTTCTGCACTAGAATGACAGGGGCGTATGTCTCTTCACAGAAAACTATCATCAATACCAGACTGAAGAATCCGACGATAGCAGGCAAATAGAGGGTCCAACGCCAGCCGAGATAGCTCTCGGTAATAAAGCCACCGATAAAAGGTGCAGTAAATGGTCCTGTGAATACGGACATCGTGTACATGGCAATCGCAATCCCTCGTTGTTCATTGTTGAAGAGATCGGAAAGACTGGCAGGGACCAGGGCGATGACGCTGGCCGCACAGAATCCCGAGAAAAAGCGGGTCAGCATGATGGTTTGCGTATCTTTAGCCGTCGCGCAAGCGATGGTGAAGATGTCGAATCCAAACATGCCAATCATCAAGGGCCATCGCCGACCGAGTAATTCGGAGCACGGCGCCCATACAGTCGGGCCCGCAGAGAACCCCAATACGTAGAGAGTCGTGCCCAGAGCGGCAACTTCGGAACCAAAACCGAAGGCTCTCTCAACCTTTGAGGCCGCCGTTGCGAAAACCGCGCTGGCGAAAGCGGTGACCAAGGCACAGAAGGTCAATAGAGAAGCGATCATGACTCTAGGAAAGCATTAGCAGGTACAACCACACAGCAAATAAGACGTGCCGTACCTCCGCTTGAGGGGCCAATTCTGGGGGTGCATGGGGTCATCGGCGCCGTCAAACTCCACCACATACGCCTCCGAGTCCGGAAGGGCGGGCGGGTAGGGCTTTCCGGCACCCATGGGGAGCCATTGTTCACGCGGGGTACGACTACGATTAGATCCGACCGTGAGTTGTTGTTGCAGACGGTAGGTGTTGATTCGTTCCAGCTCAATGGTATCATGGTGGTCCGGGTACTCCGCCCGAGAATCGCGCCGGGAAGACCTGGCGAAATGGTCCGAGACCGAGGAGGCGTCCTCGGCCTCGAGGTCATACTTCTCGGCAGGAACTTGGCTCATGTTCACAGTTTAGATTCTGTGCCCGTGAGGAATTTCCGTATGGCGACGATGGCGAGAGTCGGGGAATCGAGAGGAACACTATGGCCCAATGGGGGCCCATGAATCATTTAAAGGAGCTAAGTCCTGGCGAGCTGACCGGTTTTTTCGTCTCTCTGCTCCTTCAAGAAATTTCCTCCCGGATGCCGATGCCGGTTGATGTGGGTCGGAGACGGGGGCCATTATTTCGAGATCCATAGCGCGTATCTTGCGAGTTCCGAGAGTGGCAATCCACCACTTATCACCAGTGTGCCAGGTGCGCTGAATGCGGGTAAAGCACGGCCGCGGAAGAAACGGAGTCATAGTCATTCGATGATCATTCGCTTGGATTTCACCATCGTCGAGTCGAGTGAGGCAAGTCAATGTGGCAGGCAGGCAACAGGTGTTAATTGTTAATTCCGCAGAGGTGAGCGACCACGGCTGCGAGTGGATCCAGACGGGAAGCACATCATCGGGTACTCGGCATCAGGCTGAGTTGAGGGAGTCTGGGGGGCCAGCCAGGAACCAGTCAGTATAGCACCAAATCAGAAGATAAGCAGACACACTCGGATCAAACATACACAGATCGATAGTCAGTACATGAGAAATCCACTCATTGGGGCAATGCATCACTGTGAAGCAGCTCGAAGGCCAGTAGCGCCGAGCCAGTCCACCTCCACAGCAACTGCACGTGGCTGAGCAGCCGGGAAGATTGCTAAGAAAGATATTCTCTTATCAATCAACTTGATTGCTTATTAGGGTCGTATAATCCGGAACAGAGTCAGAGAAGAAGATAAGAAGGACGTTGTGTTTGATCCGGAGAGCAGTAGAATATAATGGAGGAAGATGGGGAAAGAGGAGAAATCGGGTATGGAGGAAGCTGTAGCGGGAGTTGATCCGCTCCGGTCGGCGGAATGATTCCGTGGCCGCCTTTTCCACCTTCGGTTCTTTCAGGGACCAGAGCGCACAGACCAGCTGAGGCTGCTTCATGTATGAGTACATGTATTGCATCAGCCTGGAATCTTGAGAGATTGTGATCAATCTTTTGCTTTTATCCTGAGAAGGTTTAGCTTAGACAGTCCGCCCTTTGCACAGCTTAGTAGCATAACTGACCAGTCACAAAGCTATAAAGAGGCCCCCAGTCTTCCTTCGATCCCGACTTTGCCTCTCTGGTGCCACACCTCGCAGAAGATATCTTTATTATCACCGGCCCCTGGTGGATAGGCATAACCTGTCACAATGAGCGAGAATCGACTAAGACACAAGCTTGGGATAAGAGTAAGTTGGCTTCGGCCCGCAGGCAGATCCAACCCGTCTCTGTGTCGGCTTGTCGCAAACAAAGACCGAGAGGCTCTACACTCCATGTTATCTCTGTTCGAATAACTACTTTCCATCCCGGCATGGGAAACAAACTACACGGATAACCATCCGGAGCATCTGACATACTAAGTATAGCAAAACATATGGTACATAACAAACGCGATGTGCGATGATTAGATACGACATTACCCCGCGGGGAATTATCCCAGGAAAACGGATTCCGAGACACTCACGCTGTTCCACCTTGGCGGGAAATACTTCCACTTTGGTCCATCCCTCGTATTAAATCAGTCACCAGGTTTTACCAAGGTGGCATGCGGGGTCTGCATGACTTCATCCACAATTGCTTCGCTTCCAACCACCCCTCCAACCCGTCACGTTACTTATATATTATAACATTGTTACCCTCCCTGATACGCCAACAACCAGAGAGACGAAGAATTCCTTTCTGAAATCCATCCCCGCACAATGATTTCCGGCATTCATCACGTTAATATTCTCGTGCCAGATGGCACCCTCGACCAAGCCACCGAGTTCTACAGCGACACCCTCGGCCTAGAATCAGCCCCCGTTCCCGAGCTGCAGAAGGGGACCATCCTTTGGTGCGTCCCGATCTCTCAACACCTTAGTATACCGCGATCCATTTGCTTACCGGAAAAGGTTTAATCTTACCCCCGATGGAAGTCAACAAATCCACGTCAACCTGGGACCTAACCCCGAGCTCGACTCCCAGCGCCACGCCTGCCTGCGCGTCTCGTCGCTGGATGAGTTACAGATGCTGCAGAAACGCATCTTAGCGCATCATGAAAGCGGAGGTCCCGCGGCTCCGATGGATGTAGATCGGTTGGGAATGTGCTCGGGTCCCACGGGGGAGGAATATCCACGTCGGTTCTTTGCCCGAGACTTTGCGGGCAACCGACTCGAGTTTAGTGTTTAGACCCGTGTAGGGGGTGGGAAGTGGCTGTTGTGTTTTGCTTTCTTTTTCTCTCTTGTCCTTTCTCTTTCTCAGATTGAGCGTTTGCAAGTGCAGATTTTGTTAATTTTCTTTCTTTGGTTGTGCATCGCGTACTGGCTGTTTCCAGTCAATCTGCATTTCGGGGCCCTGCAGGACAGACCACGAGTCTATAGTTTGTGGGTGGTTTATCGGACTATGGCTGATTGTTCTGCGCGATGTGTGGAGAACATGGGGGCAACTGGACATGACATCATGTCCAAATTTGGGAAGAGGTGAGGTGAAGAATTAACGACCCATCCAAATGGGTAATTAAGTAGTGTAACCAAGTCAACATAAGTATAGATTCATTATTTGAGATGTGATGTTTTTCTCTTAAAGGCAGCAACCAAAGGCAGAATCCTGGAAGAGTGTCATCCATCCATCCCCTAAGTTGACCGCCTACCGGATGCAGCTCCGACTCCTGAAATGGATCTCCGCCAATTTCTCCATTGCCAAGGCTAAGGAAGGTACTCTCCGTGGCTGCCATCGCTTTCATTTACCCTTTTCTTCTGCTGTGCTTGCCTGCCTGTCCCTTCTCCTCCCCCACCCTAGCATCTTCTCTATTACTCTACTCCCTCTTTCTCCCTTCTTTATACCTGGCGAAGTCCAGTTACCTTCTCACTTCCCTCTTCAACCAAGCTTCCCTGTGGGACTTCGATTGCCTGGCTGTGCAGGGTATGTGAGAGGTGGTGGATGACCCTGCTTCTTTTCTGGTCGTTGCCGTTGTTGCTTTTGCTGCTGCTGCTGCTGCTGCTGCTGCTGTTGTTATTATTGTCGTTGGCGGCTCACCTCCGCATGAGGCTCGACACACTATCTTTACCAACAAGCTCCAGTAGGCGGTCGCGCCTCTCTCTCTCGGTTCCTGAGACGTGCTCCTCCCTGTTCACACATCTGCTGCTGTGATCCGGGGTGCTGTAGTCTCTCCCCTGAGTGGGCGATTGTTAATCAGCTCCCCCTCCCCACTTCACTTGACAGCCACAACGTGGGATTTCTCTCAGCGCCGATCCACTGCGAGCTTCCTCCTTTCCTTTCCTCCGGTCGCGTGCGCTCGACCTCCTCCCTCCTCCACCATCCGGGTCTACTTCCTCTGTTGCTCGCTTCAATCATCATGGCACACTACAAGAATGGCTATCCGATCTACGGCCAATCAACGAATTCCCCTCCGGCCTCAGCGCAGCCCACCCGATATGACCTGTATGCCACTCAGCCCACCAGCCCACAACTCCGACGCATGCCTAGCTACAACGTGGGGGACGATGCAGGACTTCTGGGATCCGCCCAGCCGCAGAATGCCAGAGCGACCGAGGTGAATGCCCGTTATGGAGCTCAGGAGCACGAAGTCCATGCAGACCCACGCTACGCGCATCTTCCCACTCCCTCCTCCCCTCAGATGTCTCGCACTCGCGCATCCTCGCAGTCCAGCTACCAATACCAATACACCTCGTCGGTCTCCGCCGCTACGTCCCCCACTCAGCTCGCGTATAATCCTCAACAGTACGCGCTGCCGCCCACTCCGTCCCAGCAGCAAGTCGGTTTCAGCCCGATCGCATACTCGGGTCCAGCCTCCCCGCAAAGCAACCCGATCGCTTCTGGTCATCAACCATACAACCCCGCGGCCTACCAGACTGCCAGTATACACTCAGCTGCGATTCAACGACAACCATCCTTGACGTATAACCAGGCTCCTCCCACCCCGCAGACCTACGGACCTCCTCATCCACAACTCCCACCACCGCCGCCCCCTCCCCGCGGCCCGGACCATCCCTATGGAAGCAGACCGGCTGCGCAGTATGGAGGGGTGTCTCCGGCTGCGCAGTACGGCTTTGCACAACAGTCCTCCTATAATATATCCTCGCCCGCGACTTTTGGTCCTTCCGATCCGAATCCTCCCGCTTCTCCTCCGTACGTAACAAGCGCCCAAATGTCGAGTTATGTCCCTCAATCCCCCCGTCGATCCGATGCCGTTATGCCTTCCGCTTCGGATGATCAACCTCCCATGCCCCCAGCGCATTCGTCAATGGGAGACGACATCTATGCAAAACGTGCAAGCTTGACACTTTCCGGCAGCGGCAGGTCCTTGCCAACTCCTCCCGTGCACCAACTCCAGTCCCCGGTGTCACCGCGCCGCACAGATACGCTGACGCGACACCCTCAAGCTCGGCCCCTGCCGGGTCCACCGGTAGATGCGGAAACCGACCTGTATGCCGACGCAGAGGATCCATCTTATCGACTCTCTCCTGATGAAAGTCACACTCATACCAATGGAAGCATGGCCACTGGAACGGGTCAGTATGTGAATTACGACGCCTATAGTGACGACAGCGATGCGGAGGCAGCGGCAGGTCTGGCAATGTTGCAAATGGCCGATGAGGAGGATCGCGCTCAAGCCGAGCGGTTGCAGGACCGTGCGCGACGAGAAACCAACGCATCGATCATCAGTGCTTACGGAGCGCGATCAGACACAGGGGCAACATCTCCCCTCACTGACTGGCCTCAGGATGACCAATTCTCCTACGCGGATGGTAGCTATGGCGGAACAGGAGGATACGATGAGAATGGCTACGCCACTGATGGCTATGGTGATGATCGATTGCCAGCCACTTCGGGCTCATTGAGGGGTTCCCATCTGTCGGCAGATGATCGCGACGACTATGCGGAGGACTACGATTATCCGCCCACGCTTGACTCGGCTGGATACCCTTATGCGCAGATGCCTCATCATGCCCGAGTGGATGCTGGCGGCACGGGAGGGTTGTCCGAGCCTGGGGCTTATCAGCGCCGAATGAGCTTCGATTATGGTGATGAGACTAACGGCCCGCTGGGGGAACATCAGGACCTCCAGCAATCGGAAAGCGATAGCTCCGGCCAAGGGGGTGAACCAGGGGACCTCTTCTTTCATCCCGGGATGCGGCCCCTGCCTCCAGCTCCGGTCGAACCGGCCAGCAACCCGAACCTTCGGTCTCACTTGATGCCGGCCGGAACGTATCGTCACCAGGACCAAGCGGATGTGCGGGATGCTACCCAGTATTCTCCCTCTTATTTTCCTGTTGCTCCTGATTCCTACAACCCGGCCGTGTCCAATTCTGCTCAAGTGCCACGGTCCACATCTCTATCGAGCCATCCAATTGGACCTCGTACTGACCCCCCTATCAGATCGAAAACGGATGCAGATCGGGCCAAGTACAAGCAGCAACAAGAGTTGCTCCGGCAGCAGCAGTATGGTGCGCTTAGGTTTGACGATTCTCCTGATGCTGCTGCGGCAGCGATGGCGCTCGATCTGCCTGCCATCCCCGCTGGACGCCGCAAAAAGTTCAACCCCGCTAAGCTCTCATCGGAGCACTTCCGTCGCTGTTCGGAGCCGTGGGCGTTGAGCTCTGTCTTGTCCTGGATTCGCGAGCTCAGTGAGGAGGAGACGGACCTGAAGGAGCAGGCCATTGTGGATGCCATTGTGGCCTTATTCACCCACAAAGTCCCCACCATGAACATGGCGGACGCTGAAACCTTGGCTGCCCGTGTGGTGAAGAACATGCTCACCGAAGAGGCTCTTGTGAAAGACGAAGAGTGGGTCAAATTCAGTTCGGGCACGATATCCGGAGTCCTATTCCAGATTACCGGCACGGGATGCTACTCCCCCCGGTTACACGAACATGAAACGGAGGTGTTCGGCCGGTGCTACTCCCATCACTGCATGCGAACGCTAAAGAAGGTGAATTTGAAGGCGCAAATGATGGAAGCGGAGAAGAAGGCCGAAGACTGGGTCACTTTCTACAAAGTTCCTAAGGAGATTTGGGAGACATATCCAAAGAAGGAGATTGATCGCCAAAACAATCTCCACGAGATTGTAACCACCGAGGACTCGTTCATTGCTCAACTCGACGTTCTGCGAGAGCTCTACCGCGATCAATTGACTCAGCTGCAGCCCGCGGTGATCAAGCCCAAGCGTCTGAGCAAGTTCTTGACTGATGTTTTTGGAAAGGTGGATCCGGTCAAGAAAGTCAATGAGGACTATCTTCTTGCGCAACTCAAGTACCGTCAGAAGGAGCAGGGGCCATTCATTGCTGGTTTTAGCGATATTTTCCGTGAATGGATTCGAAAAGCCAGGGCTGTCTATATTGAATATGCGGCCACCTTCCCTCACGCCAATTATCTTGTTCGCAAAGAAGCGGAGGTGAACGTACCTTTCCGGCAGTTCCTCAACCAAGCCCGTGACCATAAAATGTCGAATCGTTTGAGTTGGGATACCTATCTCAAAGCTCCAATCACACGTATCCAGCGCTACACTCTGCTTTTGACCACTGTGTATAAGAACATGGTCAAAGACTCGGAAGAGAAAGCAAACCTTGCTCAGGCTATCGAAGAGATCAAGCAGGTGGCTCTGGAGTGTGATGCCAAAGTGGGCGAGATGACCAAGAAGGTCGAGCTGATAGAGCTCAGCTCGAAGCTGCAGCTTCGCCCGGAGATGAAGAAAGAAGTGGAGCTGAACCTGGAACATCTGGGCCGTCAAATCGTTTTCCGAGGAGACCTGCAGCGACCCGGCACGCGAACCCGTTTCTTGGTGGACACACATGCCATTCTCTTTGATCATTACTTGGTGCTGGCCAAAACATTTACGACTCGTGACCCGTCGAGGACGATCAAGTACGAGGGATACGATGTTTCGAAGCTGCCGATTCCTATGGACCTCCTGGTCTTGGAGAGCACCAACGATGATCCCGTGGTCAAATCAGCGGTTCGTGGCGTGGCTGCCATGACCCAACCGCAGGCCGTCAATCGCGGTGTAGGCGGAAACACTTTAGCTCATACTGCTAGCGGTAACTCGGCCAGTTCTGGAAACTCAGGCTCGAGCAAAACGATGGTGCCTGCAACTGTGCTGGAAAGCTCCAAGGATGATAAGATCCTGTATCCATTTAAAATCAAGCACCTGGGAAAGAATGGGACGTACACGCTGTATGCCTTCTCTTCCCAGAGTCGACAGGAGTGGTGTGATAAAATCACCGTGGCGAAGACGAAACATGCCGCTGCATTGTTTGCACAGAACGCCGAACCTTTCAGACTCCGAGTGCTGGCTGACACTGCCTTTGCCACGTCTGAGGCTGCTCTGCCCCCAACGAGCGTGATCATTGATGCCACACCTCTTGACAGAGCCATCAGGGATGTGGAAGAGCGGTACGCAGGCTCACCACGCCCGCCTCCTGTTTGCCGGACTGCGGTTCACTGTGCTACGGTCTTCCAGCAACCCCCAGGCCGAATGATGTGTGCTATAGGTACCGACTACGGAGTCTATATCTCAGACTACAATGACCCTCGTGGCTGGGTCCGGGTAAGTTATGATTTCTCAGTCAATCAGCTTGACACTAATGTCCCGCTTTAGGCCATACCAATCATCCGAGTCACTCAAATCGCGGTCTTCGAGGAATTCAACGTTTTCGTGCTCATAGCCGATAAATCCTTGATAGCGTATCACTTGGATGTTGTCTGCCCTCCGGGTGGCGTTACCACCCAGACAACGACTGATTCGGCCCGTCGCGCACCGCAGAAACTGTCAGGTAGCCGCGAAGTAGGGTTCTTCGCAGCAGGTCACATGAAGGATCGTACATTGATCATGTACAAGAAGCGAGATGGGCTCTCGTCCACATTCAAGGTTTGTCTCTTCGTCGCCCAGGCCTCAGTACATTTTACTTATTCAGTTCTAGATCCTCGAACCAGTGGTGCAGAAGTCATCCAGCAGTCGAACTCGTCTGTTTTCGCGCCGTTCGCAGACTGAGTTCTTCCGCGAGTACGATGAATTCTACATTCCCTCGGAATGCTACGGTATCAACCTGTTCCATTCTTCTCTGGCTATCTCAACGCAGAGGGGTATCGAGATTCTCACCATTGACAAGAAATACACGTGGTCCGTCCCTGACTTCCGTTCCGAGGCTCCCCCGGAAGCGCAGGCCCAGTTGACCAGCATTGCCCATCGCATTGGCACTCTGCGCCCGCTGGGTATGTTCCGACTCAGCGATAGCGAGTTCTTGGTGGTGTATACGGAATGTGCCGTGTATGTCAACAAGCACGGCGACGTGTCCCGCAGCGTGGTCATGGAGTTTGTGGGCCATGCTCATTCGGCGTGTCTGTACGGCCGTTTCCTTATTCTCTTCAATGATGATTTCGTCGAAGTGCGAAATGCGATGAATGGTCGCCTTCGCCAGGTGATCCCGGGTCATGGTGTTGTCTGTCTTGATGATGGCAGTAGCATGCCCGGGTCAGGCGCCAACAGCATCCCCACGAACTCCGGAGGTTCCGTGAACCTTTCCAGTGGACTGTCGAATGGTAGTGCGCTCGCAAGCAGTGGCCGTACGGTCAAGATCTGCATGCAACATCCGGAATACGAGCGCAGCCAGCTGATTCTGGAGTTGATCGAGAACGAAGGACAGAAGGACTAAACTGATGAAGGGATCTGCGTCAACATCGTTTCTTCGGCTAAGTTCGGGTTCTACTAGCTGCCACTCTGCTGTGATTTCAGCAGTGCAGTATTCTCTTTCTCGGGCTGTTCCAGCCCATTTGCATGTTCTCTCTGCCGATGCGATCGATCGGCATGGATCATCACCCCCCAAAACTACTTCCTTACATAGACCCCTTCCTTCTCTTCTCTTGACTTCACTCGAAACTCTTCCTTACCCACTTCTTATCTTATACCCCAGACTTTTTCTTCTACATCTTGCCCATTTCTTTTTAATCTTCTTTTCGATCTTGCCGAATGGATGTCCGAGCTTTTGGATAATCACTTTCTCCATAGATTCAGCCCGGCTCACATCCGACATCCATGTCTGTTTGTCCGTCGTACGCACAGCGAAGCCAAATAATCCTTTCAATCAACCGGTTAGATGATGTGGAGATGTACATACATAGATAATGGAGATACATACATATTGCAGACATCGTGCTTCAATTATTATGGGCTGTCGATGCGAGGATGGTAGTAGGTATTGTCGGAGGTAGCCCAGCAGACATGAATTGACTGCTCTGAAGATGACACAATCATCATATATTTGAGCATACCTCATCAGTACATCACCGAGTCCGATGTGGTGTAATGGCTAACATCGCTGTCTCTCACACAGCAGCTCGGGGTTCGATTCCCCGCATCGGAGATTTCTTTTATCTTTTTGGTGGGTGTCTGTCGCTCTCCTCTTCTTAGTAGCTATCGATAAGGCTTCATGTTTTTATCTTCAAAAAGGAGCTTAGAGTTGTGGTTTCGTTTTTACCTTTCTCATTCATCCCTTTAACCGGAACGATCTTATGAGGTAACCAAGCCCGTGTTAAAGGTTCTGTCGATGTCATCCTGCCGATCTTCGCCTAAAGGTACACACACCCACGCTTCTGCTAAACCGACCACGAAACGCAGAGTCGGGATAAAATCAGCTTTGAAAGTGCAAGATACCATCTGTGAACTTCAATTAGCTATGGAGTTAATCATCCTGCTATGAGGGAAACACATTCACGTCCTTTGAAAAACTGCTGGTGTATGCGTGCGTTGCGGAAGCAGCGATCCCTGGAGTCAAGGATATGAGGTTTAGCAGATATAAATACTGAAACGGGTCCAATCAGGCCGGCAAATTCATACTATACTCCAAATCTAAAATCGGTCGCTTAACTACAAAACTGTGATCATTTCAATGATCTTTTTTCAAGGGAGATGCTTCTGGATAATGGCTGAAGTGGTACTTGAGTACTTGATATATCATCAATTGGACAGTTTCTACCTGTTGTTTAGATATCTAGAGCTGGAGCGAGAATGGTAGGTCAGGTGCGGAGAGAGATATATCGCGAGCAACACATTAATAAAGAACCCCCTAACTCCCCTCCCCTCCAAACACACTGAATGCTCTGGCCTCTACTTGGTATCCAGCTCGTTATCAGAGGAAACTGCCTAAGCGAAGTCCTATTTCCTAAACTCCATAGCACGAAAAGCCATACATACATGCATGCAAACATACATACGGTCATACACATGGCGATGACGGCTACATACAATCACTATCAACAATACCATCGACAGCCATCTGTCTTGTCTGAATGCATTCCATGAACATGCATTGAGAGACAAACACATCAACTAAAAAGAAAGGTATCTAAGCGACAGCCGATATAAACAGGCATAAGAGGAATTGGAATTGCAGGCCAACCTTCCAGGGCAGGTAAGGTGAGAGCGATGGATCTTTCTTTGTCTTCAGAGAATATCTTTAGGAGATTCATATAGGGAGTAGGTGGAGTAGTAATTGTGGGGCTGTGTGGGGACGAAGGAAATGGAGTGGATGAAGGAGGGTGGGTAGATATGTAAGTTGGTAGGGGAGCGGTGGAATGGAACGAGTGCGGAGGAGAGAGCCTAGCTCGGGGAATGTCTATAGTTTACGACTCGAATTCGACTTTGCTGACCACGTTGTCGGGTGCATGAGCTGCTGCTGTCGAAGGAGCCTGAGTATTGTCATGGTGACTATCTTTGTCATCAAGGAGGGAAGCGTCGTCCTTGCCGCGCATGCTGACGACCTCGGCGCCCTCGAGGAGGTCACGATCGGCATCCCGTACGCTACGGCGGTCCGGATCAGCGCCGTACGCGCCAGCTCCCCAGCTGGAAATGCCCCCGACAATGGACGGAGCGGAAGTGGGGCCAGTGCGGCCATCGTATTCTTCCTCGTCCTCTTCGTCTTCCTCCTCACCGCGACCGAGGGCGTTGCGTTCCAGCTCGCGCTGCGCTTCGTCCATGCGCTTCTTGACTTCGGCGGCCATGCGGATTCCATCAGACACGATGTTGTCCAGAACGCCGCGAAGTCCTCGGCCGGGAGGTACAATACCACCCGATGCGCCCCCAACAGAGGGAGCCGACATGGCGCTACTCTGGGGCTTAGGTGCGTTGATATTGGAGAACGTCGTAAGATTGGACGAGAGGGACGAAGCGGTTGCAGCATATGAGCCATGGTCGGAGAGGTGGAACGACTGGGGGAAGTAAGAGTCGAAGAATTGTTCCAGGAGCTCATCAGCTAAAATGACCATGCGGAACGTGGGCAGTGTGATGTGCAGAGGGTTGTTAGGATCAAGAGCCGGGTTAGCACTTTCGGAAGCGGTTCGATTGTGTTCGGAGTCACGCTTCTCTCCCGCAGCGAGCTGAGCAGGCTTTTCCGTAACCGCTGTGTGGTCGGATTTGGTATCATCGTCCAGATCAAGCAGGTCCTCTTCTTCATCGTCACCGATACTGAAAGACCCTAGTTTGTCTGCAGCTTCATCCGCGTCTTGCTGAGCTTCCGCTGCCTTGGCCCCGGGCTTGCTGGGGTCGGCATACTCGAAACAACGCCTAATGAAGGAGCTGACACTTCCCAAAAATTTCTCATCGGTGCTCAGCTTATCTTCACCATGAGCGCCATCATTCCCTTTCAGGTCGTCAACAGACTGAGTCGGGGTAATGGTGCCTTCAAAGCCTCGTCTGGAGAGGAACAACAAAGCCTCGGACATGCGAAGAATACCTTCTCTATCAACCGTGCCATTTCCTTCATCATCATAGAGATCGAAGAAGTACTGGATGTTGTTCATGATGTCCCGCGGGCCCTTCAGCCGAGCCAAGCCGTTGACAACGTTCTGCAAGCTGATGCCCTCCTCTGGGTCAGTCGCCCATTTCCGGTAGAGACGTTGCATAAATTCGTGATCGGTTGGTTGGTTCTTGGTGTTCCACGCGGCTGCCTTGCCCCATCCTCGGAAGCTGTTGGAGCTCTGCTCGCTGCTCGAAGACTTGCGCGGCGAATCCGAGACAGCCCACTTCGCGGTGACGGCGAGAAACTCGCGGAAGGCGTCATAGTCCATATGCGTCGGGCTAGGGCCGAGACCGACACGGCCGACCTCTCGATCAACGGGAGGCCCAAGAATGGAAGTCCTTTCGACCCTCTTCTTTTCCTGACGTCTTCTCTCTTCTTCCTGCAACTTCTGCCTCTGCTGGTTGTCATACAAGACTTCATAGTAGCGGTCATAGATGGCACCAAGGTCGTCCATGCTGAGTTTCTTGCTGTCGGGACCCAAGTTCCGAATGGATGTACGTTTGGCGAAACTTTCGATATTCTCCAGCACGGCGTCCTTGTGCTTTTCTCGCTGCTCGATAATGGTCTGATGCGTAATCTGGGAGAACTCCTTGAAGGCCACCACCATCAGCTCCTGGAAACGAGTGATCGCGCGTAGCTTAGGGTTCTCTGATCTGGGGTGAGCCGACTCATCCAGGCGTGAGAAGTACGACTTGAGGACAGAGATGAAAGATCCGTCGTCTTGGATATCCAAAAGTTCCTCGCCATTGATTCGGAGGATAGCCAGCCCGACCTGGAACAGAACCTTCGGCCCTTCTAGGAAGAAGACATCCAGAACGCGGAAAGCGAAGACTAAAGGCATCGAGTTAATGTAGAGGGACAGAAACCAGGGAAGGGAGACCACGGAAAGCTGGACGTCGGACTTGGTCAGGTGCTCCCATAGCACAGGCATAGTTTTCTCGACAAGAGACTCGAAGACTTTCTGGTCGAGTAGAGTACCGTACATGGTAGTCGAATAGTAGCCCGGCAAAAGCCGATCGCATAGTACTGAGAGCAGAAAGAAAGCTTGCGCTTCAGACATGTATCTGGAATGATAGGTTAGCCCATGGTCACAAGAAACAACGATACGGCAAAACCGCGTACATCAGAAGAGCCGCAACGACGATGTTCATCGCCTGACAATATCCGATCTCCGCATTGATCCAGCTGTAAGCCGTGAGGACTCGTCGAAGGCGCCCGATACCTTCCTCGCTTTGAAAGCCGGCATACTCTGGCAGACTGCGGTTTAAGTCCTTCTCGATCTCGTCAATCGCCAGGGACTCTTGCCCCGAGAATTTGGCCAGCGTGTCTGTGTATAATTTCGGCGACCTTAACCGGAGGTACAACGAACCGGACGTGACCTCCCAGACCTCCCCACGGAGGCGATTCGGCAGACCAACTCGGATCAGTTTATGGAAGGTAGGCTGGCGGATGAGCGTCGCGTTGCGACCGTTTTCTACAGAAGTCATACTCAACATACGTCTCAGACATTGAAAAGGCTGTTTCCACACGGAAGAGTCATACCTCGAAAGTACTCCCCCCACAATCGCATTTTACTGCGGTCGCGAAGTTTGCGAGCATCGCCAGGATAGCGAAAGATCATCCCCAGCCCGGCATCAGGCGGCTGCCGCACGTCGGAGGCATCGCCATCCTGGGCTTTCCCCTTGGCCCCGGAGAGTAGATATTCCGAGTAACAATCATTTACGACTATGCGCAGATTCTCGATCTCCTTCATGCCCTCCCGCAGTCCTTTCTTCAGCCCGTCGCAGAACCGCTCGCAGGCCTGCCTGCTTCCAGCCAGCTGGATGGTGAATCTCTGCGGGATAAAGCCCGGAGGTTGTTGCTTGCCCAGCGCGCCGTTCCATGTCGTCAGCGCCAGGGAGAAGATGTGGCTGAGGCTGTTCAGCCGTTCCACTCGCCGGATGCAGCACAGCGGGATAGTGAACCCGTTGCCAGATGGGCCTGTGCCGTTGGTCTGGCCGGCCCAATGTGTCGAGGCCGTGAGACTAGCGGAGGGGTGGAAGCTCGTGGCCTGTGTGGAGAAGCAGAGAAACCGCTCACTCAGGTGGAGTCGCCCGGCATATCGGTTGCCGGCGTGGTCGAGGTTGCGAGGGCCATCTCCGGAGGTATGCGGAACAGGAAGGATGAGTTCGGCGGTGATCTCTTGTAGCGGATTCTGGGAGTCTGGAAGTCGGAATTGCTGGCGAAACAAGGAGGCCTTGGAAGGGTTGCGATCGGAGGAAGTGAGCGTCGGTAGGGTGAAATTGGCCGGGTCGATGAAAGACTGGGCCTTCTGAACGAATGACGTCCACTGCATCATGCCGTCAGTGGAGAGCAGCACAGGCTCCTTTATGGGTAGTAGGAAAATATAATAGAGAAAGGAGGTGTGTTCGAATGCGCCGGAGTCAAGAGTATAAGGCTGGCTGGCTGGCTGGCTGACGGGCGGGCGGATGCGGGAGCTGCTGGAGCTCAGACGGCGAGCAGGACGGAGCCAGAAAGGTGTAAGGAAAGGTCGATGGTAGTCATTTAGGCAAGATGGATCATAATATAAGATCAGCGCAGCATAATTCGAGTGTAGAGATCCAACTGCGAGTGACAGAAGGACTCGGAATGAGGATGTTTGGAGAGAAAGAGGAGAAGGAAGAGCAGGAAGAGGAGGGGAAGGTCTCCGGGCGATGATCGTTCCTGGCCGCCTTCCGCATCCGCCATCACGTGATGCATATCACTGCTGAAGTGAGACATGGAAAAATAGGTCGACTCTGACTCAGTGGGGTTATCGTAATAAGCAGCTTAAGGCTTGCAAGAGTCCTTAGAGTACGGGCTTATTCCTAGTTCCATTACATAAGGTACCTCTGGAAAGAAAAGGATAGTTGCTACACTAAAGACTAACATCCTAAAAGTCCAGACCTGCTTTTGACAGACTAAGACCAAATACAAGATCACTGCTAAGACACCTGCAGGACGAAGAAGGAAAGGAATTTTTGAACGAAGGAGGTTATATCTGACACAAACGGAAAAACAACAGACGAGGACTTGTTGATATCAATCTATTTGCTAGAATTTGCAGCATTACTCCCCCAGCATCACATCGTGGCCATATGGGGATACGAGATTTCGATCGTTCCAACCGGAAGAGGCTCTGCTGCAACTCATGAGAACCGGCACTCAGTGCTTGCCGGAAACGTCCTCAAGCACGGCTTCCTCGTCACTGTAAGCAGGAGGGAGCTCGTCGGAGGCTTCAGTCATGAGACCCTGCTTTTCGGACACGGTGCCCTGCTCGACGGACTGCTTGGGAGCAGAGCGGCGGTACCGCTGCCACATAAAGACGACGATCTGACCAACCAACATACCAAGGGCGCTGGCAGCCAAACCAGCCAAGACACCGAGGATAGCGGGGACGACAATGAAGCGGACGACGCGGTGAAGAGTGTGGGCCAAGCGGTCATGGTGGTGGTGGTGCATGTGATGACCATGAGGACCGTCAAACTTGCCCATGTCACCCTCAAAGCCGTGATGACCCTCAAAGCCATGGTGACCCTTTCCGTCCATCTCGGGGAGGGAACCTCCGGGGAAGCCCTCGGGGTCGGGCTTTCCATGGCCGTGCTCACCGTGGTGGTGGTGAGGGTGGGGAGGGTGATCGTGATCGAACCCGTGGGCATCCCCACAGTGATGGCCTTCAGGTCGGGGGGCGAAGTCGAGCATCCGGGCCTTGGCCGCGGCGAACAAGGAGCGCATGCGGTCGAACAGAAGCTTGCGGAGGCACTTAGGCTTGCCACGGCACTGGGCCCAGGAGCCGCGGTCGGGAGTGGTTTCTTCGATCTCGGTCTTCGCCATGAACAGTTCACCGGTGTTGGAGTCGTGGATGAGGGTGACGGCTACAGTGTCGAGGGGAACTGGGTGGCTGTCAAGGTCGAGAACTGTGAAGCGAACTTCCACGAGATCCATCGGATCTTCCGGGAAGGTTGGAATAGGCATCTCCTCGACGGCATAGCCAACGGCGATAGGGTCGGACTCTGCACCATCGGAGAGTCGGTGCTGAACGGCGGTGATCAAGGTCGGAGGAGGGGGAGGGAAAATCTGGCGACCGTTGGCCAGGAGGAAGCCGTCTTCGATGGTGAAGTCGAGCGTCTGGTGAGAGTGGACAAGAACGTTAGCGCCCACTATGAGAGTATGCACATGATGGTATGACTTACAAGAGAGGTCTTGTGGCCATCAGTCCAGCTGACTATTCCATCCTCACTAACTTCACGGAAAGGACATTCGGTGCAGGCAAGCTCAACTTGCGACTGCTGAGGGGCGTAGGCCTCTAGAGGGTGGAAGGGAGGGAAATCGGCTTCGGGGGCGATAGACTCGCCCTCAACTTCGGGGATAACCAGCAGGGCTTTGGCACCGAGGGCCAGAGTGCCCCCTACTAAGCACGAGCGAAGCTGCATAGTGGATGGATGGATATTGGAAAGGATGGGGAGATTTAGGACATGCACATGAAATGAAAGGAGCGGATGATGTTCAACAAACACAAAGTAAAGTAAGTGAGTTAGATAGATAGAGTGTGGTTGACAGAAGTAGAGATGAGACGAAGAATAAAGAGAGCAGAGTAGAAGGGAAGAAAGAGGAGTGGGATGGGCGACCTAAGGAGAAAAATACAGTTGTCGTACGTAGTCGGCGCAGGCGACTAGACTAGTCGGAGAAAGACAAGACAATTAAGGCTGGATGAATGGAGTGGATAGAGTGAATGGAGTGAATGGAGTGGGATTGAATGGTGATGGGCGCGCGGACGGGCTTAGCGGCCGGCGCTTTTGATCTCTTTTTGCCGCCGAGCACTTGAAACTCAGGAGCCATCAATGCCTGAGAGCCTGAGAGAGGGGGCTTGGATGCCTGGGGCCAGTCTCGGGGGGCAAATTCAATTGCTGATTGGTTGAAAGGAGCGCTGTGACGGGTCTGATGACGCACTGGTCCTTGGATCGCTAGTCCTTTTCCAGAATAGCTGACGCATCCCCCCTTGGGCCCATTCAGTCCGACTCTGCACGTGACTCGACAATGCTCGAAATGCTGCTCGAAATAGACCTGACGCCCAAGGTTGATTAACTCAGCTATCCATGATTCTCCTCGATTTTATCCCCGATACAGTAATTAAGTCCGGGCAAAGCGCGTATTTCTTCTTCAGGCAGCAGCACTCTCATACGAATACGGCCCGCTACACTATCCAGGTCAAGTACGTACTGTACGTAGTACACAAATAATGCAGCTTTAATAGGCTCTATCTATCTCTATTCAGATCCCCACACCCATTCCATCCGCTCAAAGCTTCGACGTCTTCTGCCCCTTCACATTAGGTACCGCATCTCCCGACAGTAGGAAGTCGGGATACTGAAGGGCGCCCTGAGCGGCTCCCCCAGCCGTCATGCGCCACGATGCCCCATCGACTAGCTCATACCATCAGTATCTTATCTCACCACCAAATCGGACCAGAAAACTTACCAACGAGTGTCTGGCCACTGACATAGCTGCCAGTGTCAGCAAACAGGTAGACAGTGGCATCGGCAATGTCGCGCACGGAGCCCAGCCGCCCCAGTGGCTGAGACTTGACATAGGCCTCCTTGTTATCGGTCGGCAGCAAACGATCCATGCCCTACACCCAGATATTAGCCCCAGACAGCATTGAAGTTCAAGCACGGAACATTAACGTACCTCCGTCGAGCCTATCGGACCCGGTGCAATGATGTTCGAAGTCACCCCCAGCGGCCCGAATTCGATAGCCACACTATGCGACAGCGCGTCCACGCCGGCCTTGGCAACCGAAACATGCGTCTGGAATGGCATGGTTCTGTAGTGAATGGTGGCGCTAACAAAGATGATCCGGCCTCCGGTACCCAGCGGAGATGGCTTGACTAGACGCACAATTGTCAGCACAAAACGCGGGAATGCGGCAACAGGGGGCTCCGATAACTCCGAGGTTCCGAGACTTACGTGTATCCGAGTTAATGCTGTGCTTCTTTGCCGACTCCACCAAGTAAGGTAGCGTCGCCTTTAGGGTGTTGTAGGATCCAAGGACATCGATATCGATGACCGACTTGAAAGCATTGGCAGACAGCTGGTTGATTGATGCCAGGAAGTTGCCGGCCGCGCCAGCACTATCTGTGAGTTAGTCAACAAAGCACAATAGACGAGGTCTCAAAGGTCTGGATTCATACATAACATAGTCGATGCCCCCTAGCTCCTTGACACAGCGGCTGGCGGCATCGTTGAGGCTCTCAACCTTTCGCACATCTACGGCTCCGATGCCGATAACCTTGGCTCCAGGGCGGGCGGTCGCAATGTCTTTGGCAACCTTCTCGGTCTTCTCGACATTCCGACCGATGATACAGGCGTTGGCGCCTAGATGTACGAGAGCACGCACTTGTGCGCTGCAGATTGTGCCCGCGCCTCCCGTACAGAAGACGACCTTATTCGCTGCCAGGGGGTGTCAGCAACAGTCAGCCTGCATGATAAGACCTGGCTTGTGAAAGGACTTACCAAAAATGCCATCCTTCCACGAGGCGCTGAGGTATTCTTCTTTCGGTAACGGCATGGTGGAGTTTGGTGGAGTTTTGAGTGGGAAATGTAATGAGTTGCAGGAGGGATGGATTAGAAGAAGGCCAGTTCATTCCATTCATGTGGTGTTCTTCTCCACAGTAAGCGGGTGAGCCCCAGTGGAAAGCCGCGGTTGTTGTTTGGACCTTCGGCAACCTCGGCTTTGCCGCCTTTTGATCTCCATTCTGCTAGTCCCCATTAGTTAGTCGTAGCCTGCCTGGGTGGCATAGTAATCATACTCATGTAACCCATGTATAACCTCACCCTCTCACGGTCATACATTGTGTGTTCACCTAGCAAAAGTCGATAGGTCTATTTTATAATATCCTTAGTATCTATCGTCCTCCTCGAAATCATCGCCATGATCATATGAGGAATAGTTATATTCCGCTTCCTCCATCATCGGGGGATCATCCAGATAAGTCGACGCTTCATCATCCCTGTCCGTGGAAACCACATTTCCTCCTCGAGCTTGCGGTCGGCGTTGTGAGTTATATCCAGAAGCGCCCTGTCCTGGCTGATAGCGCCGCCGACCTGGCTCGTACAATCCGCCCTGACCTGCGGGCAGTTTTTCTTTCCGATCAACGTGACTTGCTGGCTGTCCCCGACCTTGAGGCGGACGTCTAGGTGGATTGGAGCGAACATTCGATCGATAGTGGTCAGGGCGAGCAAGTTGCGAGTCAGCGGGTCTTCCGCGAGCCAAGCGTGCGGGCTGATACCGCGGACGGGGTGCGGTGCGATGGTAATCAAAATCGTCAGCTCGGATGCGATCGACTCGAGCAGCATCGAGGTCAGTGACCCCAGTCGCCTCCTGCAGATAGTTGTCGAACTGGTCGATCGCCTCCGCAACTCGTTCGAACTGCATCCAATCCAGGACAGGGCCGGTAGCGGGATCTTCGTCCTCGGGCTCTGGGCCGTCTCCCCAATTATCCAGGGAGCTTTTCCGTGTGTCGTACTGAGCCAGGGAGAAAGCGACTTGAAACGCATTGCGGATCTGGCGTCCGTTCCATCGCGCCTCGGGAAAAGAATCGAAGTACCATCCGGCATAGTCTAGAATGCCATCTTCGTTGATCGTCAACGGTGGTTCCCTCCATTCCTCGACTTGCGGCTGCTCTTTTCTCTTGGCTTCGATTCTTTTAAGCCGATCGATATTGGTCTGGAAGATGGCTAAGGTCTGATTTCGTTTTAGTGGCTCGTAGTACAGGCTCATATGAATGCGGGACTTGAATGCCTCGTCAATCGACCCCACCCTATTCGTGGTCAGGAAGAGAATACCGCTGTAGTATTCGAGTACACGGAGAAAGACTGGCCAGGAGTCAGTCAGCCGAGCCAGAGGATTTCATGAGCAAGCAACAGCATACCTGAAACTAGAGCATTTCGTTTGAAGTCAGTGATCCCCCTTCTCGAAAGGAAAATATCAGCCTCATCTAAGAGTAGCACACAGCCCCAGAGGTGCGCCAGGCGGGTAATATTGCTGAGCGCTTCCTCGACCTCGCTAGGCGTTAGTCCCAAGTCACCGCAGGTGATAGCAAACAGTGGTCTTTTGGCCGCCTGCGCTACGGTTTCTGCAGTGGCGGTTTTGCCAACGCCAGGGGCACCGTGCAGCAGGATAATCAAGCCGCTCCCTTTGCCCGGAATGAGGTCTTGACTGAGTTCCACTCGCGGGTGTTTCTTGCGCCATTCTTCACGCTTGAAGTGCGCCTGCACCAGTGACATCACCGTGCGCTTGTGGCTAGGCTTGATTTTCAAATCTCGGAAGGCATTTGTATGCGCCATTACTGGCTGTAGAGACCAGATATCCACCATTACGAACTTTCGTTCTCGTAATACATACGCCATGAGACGCCGCGGGAAAAGAGCAACATTATCTCCAGTGACTTGAGTAAGTTTCGTGTCGAGGCCGATTTGGAAGGACGGTTGACTCTTCAGCCAATTGTTGAAATTTCGGTTGAATGAGCAGTCTCCAAGAACCAATCTCTCCTTGGTGGAATGAAGTAACCTTGTACGTTTCGCATCTGACCAGTGCTTGATTTCGATATTATCTTCGCCCAGTGACCAAAAGTCTGAGTCCAGGTAATATCTGACAAATTCAGGCTTGCATGCCGGGTACCGCTGGTATCCTTCGGCCAGATCAATGATCACCTCACTCTCGATGTGCTCTGGTGTCTTAAAGTCCGTCATCAATTTTCCGGTAGGAGTGTTAATGACCGTCCACCCCTCGTAACGCAGGTGCCGCTCATTAATCAGTGATTGAAATCTCTCGCCCTGCGCTTTTAGACGAGCAAAGATATGCTCGGAGTCCTTTGCAAACCGCAGCGGGTAAACAGGCAGCGACGTGATATCCCTCTCTCCTTCGAAGTACTGAATCTTGAAGACGTGCTTGACTGCTCCGTATGATTCACCGTCGTGGTCAACATGGTAACAGACTGCTTGATACTCTTGGGATTCCTCGCCAAGGTCGTTGGGATGACCATCTTTGGGGGTAGGAATCCATTCTCCACACAGTTTCCAGGCTGTTTGAGTCATCGACTTCGATTTCGGTGATAATGGCTGGCTCGAGCTCTGAGACTCCTCTCCATCGGGCGGAGAGTAAAGCATTTCGTCATATTTAAGAAGCAACCAAAGATCACCGAAGCGGACCTTTTGTGGTGCGGATCCCCTGAAGCGCTCGAAAAGGGGATATATCTCCTTGTCCACAAAATCTACATAGCAGCGCATATGTCTCAATGCCGTAATACTGCTCATCTCCGGGCCAGTGGGATCCATTTCTGCTTCTTTCTTTTCATCCGTCTCGTCACCAGCCTTCTTGTCCTGAACCGGCGGTGTCTCCCTTGTCACTATAGTCGTTTGCTTCAGACCAGAAGACTCCAACCTCTCGGCGTAAGCCCATGTCTCTTCCAAGTTCTCGAGTGCTTCTTTCATCTTTGAGCGAAAGACGATGAAAAAGTGAAACGGCCGAAAAAAGGTCCATGGCCGCGTGACATCCATGCCACTTGCGCCCGCCACATATTGAATGTAGCGTGTGATGGGTTCTGACTGAATGCGAATCCGCTGAATCCAGGTTCCCTGTAGATCAGGGCTCTCTGCGGTATGGTCCTGTGCCTGTCTGGTGTGTTCCAATTGCGAGTTGTTGATCTCGTTTCTCGTACCCGACCCGGCTCGGAGGACTTCAATGATATGGACACCATTCTCCAGTCCATGCCGATTTTTGAACTGGTCAAAGTTCATCATTTTGACAGCGGGGATTCTGGGCAGATTTTTAATCTTGTCCTGCCAGTCGTCTTGATCCGGTAACGCCCCTATACTATTGTATCGTTCCTTGTTCCCGGAATTATCGTATGGCGTACTGTCAGGTCCCGGATTTGGAATGTCTTTTGTCACCGACATAGGATGTTCTGCTTGGTCGCTGGCATTGGTACGTGACGCCGGTGAGACGGGACTGCGCTCTGCGATATCATTGGGCTTGTCGGAAATCTCTGGAGTCTCTACCTCCTCTTCTTCAAGACCCTGCTTTTGCTTCATAGGATTTCCGTCGCTTGCGTCAGACCTCAGCTGTGGAGGCTTCTCCGACACAAGAAGATTATCCATCTATGGCGGAGCAGGTGAAATCAGGACTGTAGAACAAAGCGTCTGGGGAAGAAAAGTACACGTACGACAGAAATCAAGAAAGAAAGATCAGGGCGGCTCTCGATGCTGAAATTTATCACTCGAATCGCTGAATACGAGGTGTAAGCGCCTACGCCTCTTAAATGTCACATTATGGTGGCCAAGCGTGACTCGAGCAAACCGACGGCAAGGCTGGGACGATTTCCCCGCACTCTCACGTTGGTGTCTTTTTTAAACCGCAACTCACACGACAACCTCTTCGTTGAATTATCTTCCATCCATTGACTAAGATGCAAGGACAAGCCGCAGAGAACAAGGCAGCTAAAGGCCGAATTAGTCAGTCGGTCAACCAGAATAGAGTCCGCCTTACTCGTGGCTGTACCCTGAAGGATCGGAGTGCCAAGAAGCTGAGCCCGCTGCTGTCTTCTGCATTGAAAGCGAGCTCACCCCATCTCTCGACTCTGTAGCGTTCTCCCAGTCCCTATGAGTATCACAAAAAAATCGCACATACTCCCTACCATTTTCTTTGCCAATGGAAGCAGCTCATTACCGAGCTGGAGGCGTGGCAGCCGCAACGACAGCGAAATTTATCAGTGGCGAGGGGGTGAAGGTGCACCAAGGTCTCGGGGGTTGGTCGGAATATAATGACCAGCGAGCTCAGTTTGAGAGTGCGAAACCGTATAGGTAGGCATATCTCTTCTGTGATCGGTGTTGAGAGAACTCGAACTTGCACATCTTTGTACGCTACCCGGGCCAAGAGTTGCGGCGGGCAGAGTTCAGAAATAACATGGGGTATAGGAATTTGGAGGCTGTACTCAAGGACCAGGTTCATACAATCCTCGGTGCAAAGCCGGAAGATAGTTCAGCATGGGAGGCAGTCTTCGACAGAGTCACTGAAGCTGAAAAAGACTGGGAAACCGCCAATGAAAGAGGGGCGCGTGCCATTTTCGCCAAGGCATGGCTTAAGGTTGGAGAGAATCGGGAACTGATTGACCCCTGGATTAATATCATCCCTGACAGCTACGGACTAGCTGTTGTGAAAGTTGGGATCGCGGTTGCATTGAATGTAAGTCTGGCGTGGAGGTAAGAAAATGAGATGTAATCTGTACACAGCTGACTCTTTGAGATAGTTAGCAGCAAAGTCGGCAGAAAGAAGGCAGAGAATAATCACCACATTTCATGAACTCCAACTCGCTATAGTGGAAGTGAAGCGCAAACGGCGAAGTTTTCATACTGATCCGGAAGTGAGCCAACACACAAAGGGTCTCTACATTGCCATCGTCGATGCGATCGAGATTATTCTCAATTCTCTGCCCGCAAAACGCCTTCTGGATCGCGACGGGACCGTGGAAGAGAAGAGGCATTTTCGAATAACATCGAACTCCAAAGTTCGAAGGCATGATCAGTCTCCAGAACAAGCATTGCAGCGAGTCAAAGAAGCTTCGGATATGCTCTCACTTGCTGCTGAAAGATGTCGAGACAGGCATATAGAAGCGATCGAGCGCTATTCAAGGGATACGCATCACGAGGTTCATGTCATGCGTTGGACCCAAAAGGAAACAGAGATCAACACACGCCAAATTAATGCTGATGTGCAGGTCGTTAAGAGCGGAATCGATGAGATATCCGGAGGGCTAACTAAGGTTCAAAGGTTCGCTCAGAACACTGACGGTATCCTACAAAACGTCTCAATCAATGTCAGAGAGGTCAAGACGGGGATTGAGGCCGGGGAGAAACGGCACCTCGAAATCATCCAATTGATTCGAAGAGAGGAGAAGAGGTTGAATCATTTCATAGAGACCCAGTCACAGATGATGGGTAACAGCCAGGATGCTAGGAACCAAATGTTGCAATTCTTGCTCGAGGATTGGAGGAGTAAGCCATTATTGTCAAACTCACCGGATTCAAAAGCTGACTGTAACATTTAGAAGAGAGAAACCTGAACTTACAGCTTCAGCAACGTCTTTATGTGGCCGAGACTGAAGGCTCTCCTCCCAGGAACGAACGAAGCTCTGCGGCAGTGGTCTCCCTCTCCCGCCTCTTGGAAGTTCTGGTCCAATCGCCCTCAAATGGAGGCCAGCCGCCTGATTACAGTGCAGCATTCGGGCAGCCCAATGACGATTTGGAGATTGTTCTAGGAAAGAAAATAACATTCGACGCACAGACACAAAGCCAGGCACAGTCCGTGTTGCAGAATGTACGTTTCGTGGAGTGGATGAATCGGGAGCACCCAGACCTGCTTCTTGTTGATGCGAACCTCCGATCCTTTGCACTTCACAACGTCACTCCTATCTCCGTCTTCTGTGCAACATTTGTGTTGAGCATGGCTGAAATCCGACCGAAGGATGTGGTGACACACTTCTTCTGCGGATTGCATTGTACCAAATCATCGAAGGATCATTGGGCTGGACCAAACGGGCTGGTTCGCAGTCTCATCTGTCAATTCATGCTGAGCTTGCATCGACGGGGCTTTCTGAGCATCGATTTCATCAATTCGAGAGCCTTGCTCAAGCAGCTGGAAGAGCATGATCTGGGCAAGCTCTGTGTGTTGTTGCATCAACTAGCTCGCCAGTTCCCTTCAGATGTAACCGTATACTGTATCATCGATGCGGTGTGTTGCTTTGATAAAGACCTTCACATGAGTTTCCAGGAACTGACGACCGTCATCGAATACTTACATGCGATTGTACAGGATGACTCGCTGAGAGCTCAGTTCAAGATATTGATGACGAATGCAGACCAGAGCACTAAGCGATTACGACAGCAAGTTGATTTGGAGCAGCACATCACCTTGAGCTCTCAGTACCTGTCGCTGCACATGATTTCCGATCGGTCGGTCGCAGCAGGCATCTCGAGACCATCAACACCCTCCGTTACCGACAAGAGGGAAACGGAAGATGATGAATGGGAAGGGGAACAAGATTATGAATGGTAGATATCAAGTAGTCGATGATCATCGAGCAGTGAGCAGAGAGAATGGTGGGGAAGAAGGCGGAAACGGACCGGAAGCATGGAAGAGTTGGAACCGTCCTCGGTGAGAGGGGGCAATTGCCTAAAGTGGTCATCCCACTCGACCTCAAGTACTACTACCTAGGGGGGCTCAACACAATCTACATCTGCGCTTGAATTCAAAGGGTCAACCTGATACGCATGCTAAGGAACGCCCTGGAATAGCTCATTCACAAGTTCCTTCGCTACATTTCACATCCTATAGGGCAATGACAATCTTTCCCTGGTGCTTTCCAGACTTGAGGCGAGCAAAAGCCTCCTTGGATTGATCAAAAGGAAAGACAGCGTCAATCAAAGGCTTAAGGGATACTTTCTTTTCCGCCAAAAAGTCACACAAAGCCTGTTGATCAATCTTGGAACCCACAACGATACCCCTGGAATAAGCATCTGCATCAGAACCCATCCTCAGACATGTAAGGGAGGGGGAACAAACCTCATAGTCACTCGCTTGACCATGACAGGGAGATATAGATCGGGGAATTCTTTCGCCTCGAGTCCTCCAAGGAATCCCACCAGGGATAAGGTACCCCGCTGGGCAAGAGAGGCAAGACTCTGGCGCACGGTAGCAGGGCCCACATTCTCAATAGCGACATCGGCACCGCGACCATTGGTAAGACGGAGCACTTCGTCTTCCCACTTTTCCACCTTCTTGTAATTGATGGTCTTGACGTTGGGGCCCAACGACCGAGCCTGGTCGAGTTTCTCATCGGAAGATGAGGTGATGATGGACTGCAAGCCGGCTGCAATACAGAGCAGAAGCGCGAACATGCTCACACCACCGGTGCCTGGACCGGTTAATCAGCATCTAGCCTGTGCTTCTTCAAACCTTCCATTGGAAGGGCCGCTTACCTTGGAGCAGAGCTGTGCCCCTATTTCTAGGAAACTCAAGGGCATTCCAAGCCGTGGTTCCGGCACAAGTGATGCAAGATGCCTATATCAACATTACAAACATGTTCGACCTTGGTCTCAATCTGCGCTGACCTACCTCTTCCCAGGATAGGTGCTCAGGCAAGTGCACAAGCACTTGTTCATTGAACACGGCATACTGTCGCAACACACCATCAACATCCCCACCAAGAGCCTCTGGGGCCCGCTCCTCGGTTCCGGTCACGTTGGTCAGATCCCAGATTGCGGTAACACGGTCTCCTGGTTTGAAGCCACTGACAGCGGATCCGACGGATACAACCTCGGCAGCACAATCCGAGGCGGGAATTCCGCGGGGAAGGCACGGTTGCGGATAAGTGTTGTCCAGCATGGCGATGTCGCGGTAGTTGAGCGAGACTGCATGGATGCGAACTAGGACATCGTGCGGCTGAATGGGCGGGCGCTTTTCTGTAACCTGCTCGATTGTTAAGGGTGCAGTGCCTTCTGTTCGGCGGAACGCTTGATAAGTCTCAGGAAGAGACGACATCATGAAGTTTGAATTTGGATAGATACAGGAGCTTAGAGAGCACGGTTGTAAAAGAAGGGTAAACTTGACTGCCGCAAACTTGGTACTTATATTGCGGCTTTTATAGTTTGAAAGTGGAACTCGGGTAAGACTGCTGATAAATCAAGAATTTCAGGACAGACACCGGAAGGAGTTACGCACGTATAGCGCAGCACCACAGAAATATTGGCGAGCGAGTCCTGTCGATACCAAAAATATCATCTGCCTTTGTATAGTGAAGGAATGACCACTTCTTGGCGTTCGCAATGCGTGCGCAGCGGTACCCGCTCAAAGGATCCAGCGTAATCAGAATTTGTATGGGAGGTCAAGTATCTAGACATTATCTATCTAGACATAGTCTTCACCTGCGGTATAGTAGTACTGTACTTTAGATACTATGCTGCGTTGCATAGGAAGTGCTATATAGAGGAACATTGTTCACCATCTGACCAGAGTACCGCGTTCAGGCATCAAGAAGGCGTATGGTAGCCTCAGGCCGCCGAGCGCAACGTCACTTTCGCGGACCCGTACATCTCGGGCACTCAAGACTGCAGGTCCTTGACTTGTATCAACCAGACTAGATAGCCACTGCTGCAGAACTCCTGTGACTCTGATCATTGCGTCATATCAAACTCATTGATCGCGGTCATGGAGCCCATCGCCGAGCCCCGGGACCGCTTCAATCTCCGCAAAGGACTCCTCCTTATCGAAAGGGACATCAAAGTTCTGGAAGAGCAGGACGTACATACCTTAGACCAGACCATGCTGCAAAGGTGCAGAGTTCAGACTCTACCTCTCAGCCTTGACGCGGGTGACTCGCTTGCACCAAAGTTTTTTCACTACTTTTGCCCCCGAGGACATGCCAGAGCCAACGCCAGAATATGTCGACAGAGAATACGATACCGACAGTCTAACCCTCTCTAGTCAGTGTGGGCGACTGATTTACCTATAGGTCATACGTGAGCGAAATGATTGTCGACTTTCCGGAGGTCCAACGAACGTGGTCGAGCAAGCAGTAAGCTCCTAGTACTGCCCCATGTATGGACATCTAACCACTCACCCATCCTGTGTTGCTAGGATCGACGATTATAATATTCGCAATCTATACCGGATGGTAGACCCTAAATATGGCACATTGTCGATGATGCATGTTGATAAGGCCTCCAAGCCGCATATGAAACGTATCATGCACAACGACCTCGACGTAGATGATAATCATCTGCTTTGCGGGGAAGTATTGACTGTCATTCGGATCATGTCGAGCTAGCTCAAACAAACGGGGTTTGTCAATGACGTGGTTGCACCAGCAAGTTTAGATTGTTCTTAGCATGCTGGTTGCGAAAAACGCTGATATATGATAATAGGCCCTGCTCTTCTCACTTAACCGACGGCATCCGCGTGTCATAGAGGCATACTTTAATGGCCAGGAACTGTTGATTCGCCGCACTAAGCCCTACAATTTTACATTCCTCAATATAGCTGGGTTCAGGACCTTTGCATAATGGTTCCTCGGTGATACTATTGGTATCACGTCCCGGGAAGCGGTTCGGACTTGATCGGTCGATCTTCGATTGGGATGCTTGAGGTATCATTTTTTTTTAATTCTTGAAATATTCTATAATGCAACCCTGTGCGATCAGATCTTTGGGTTGCTCTGATACCGTCAATCTCTTTGTTTCTGTGCTTTGCAGTTTTATTGTAGTGAGTGCACTTTCTGTATACTCTGTCCTGATCGTTCCAATCGACACCAGATTCTTGTTTTGCCCGCCTTGCTACAGGTGTATATATACGCGGTTGCCCATCATGTCAACAAACAGGGCGAACTCTGTGTGGCTACCCGCTTTACAGCAGCGATCGCTTAAGCAGTCACTTCTAAGACACAACTGGGAATACTTCATATCAGATCAAGTATCTAGATATTTTTCTTGTGAACCAAGTACTGCGGTTACCAGTGCTATACTGTATAGGAAGTGCTGTGTGGAGCTACCGATCATCCAATGAGAGTGCGGCCTTCAGGCATTAATAAGGCACTGCCAAGTCTCAGGCCGCCAAGGCCGGACCCGCAACGTCACTCTCGCAGGTCCGGGCGACTCCGTCATTGTTTTTTCCTTTTTCACCCTGCCTGGTGCAATTCATCACCACGCCAACTTCAATCCGACTCGGTTCTTCTACAATTCCACAGCCTTTTGTTGTCTGCACAGATAGACACCCAATCCAGAATCAACATGGCGTGTCCCATTACCGTTTCCAAGTTTGTGGGAACCGTCTCCCTGGGCCTGCTCACGGTATGTTTGCTGCGATCGCCACACTATCCTCCAACTCGAAGCTCTGGATCATCCAATCTTTCCTCCACTCCATACCCGAATGCTGTCGCATCATGCACCCACCACTCCTTGTAGGACTACACTGACACGACGCAACCATCACAGGGCATCTCGTACTCCGCCTCGACGATCGCCATCCCCGCGCTGGCCCAACTCCCGACCTCGGCGACCGGCTCGCGCTCGCTGAGCGAGATCAAACGCCTGAACCGCAAGCACGGCATCCGGCTCACCAACATCGCCAACGGGTGCCTACTGTTCGCGTACAGCATCTCCCCGCGCCACCGCAAACACCCCTACCTGATTTGGATGTGCGTCGCCTCGACCATCGGCACCTACGGCATGGACTTTTGGTTCCACCGCCAGGCGGGCGTCAAGGCGTGGTTCCAGGCGGTGCTGCACGACACCGGTTTCTGGACGCAGACGGCCGCCCCCAAGCAGCAGAAGAAGGAGGAGGATCTGGTGGTGGTCGAGGCGGAGGAGAACGGCGAGAGCGTGCAGGCGGAGATGAACACGGAACGGCGGCTGCAGCAGGTGCGGGCGGTCTTCTCAGGGCTGGCGTTGGCGATGGGGATCGTTGGCCTCTGGGGTGATCGTCGGTCTTAAGGGCTGACTTTGTCTGGGATCCTTCGCCTTTTCTAAACATGGTGGCTCGGTATAACGTGCGCTGTGACGACTCCTCTCTGTTCTTGGCTCTTGGCGTGTTTCTTTTCTCGTGATGTTGTGTGGGTAGTGGTATGTGCGTGGCGCTTCTAATGACGTTATCGATGTATGTATAAAACTGAAACTGGGTACGGAGTCATGGGTTGAATTCGATTCGATAGTTGATTACCTTTTGTGACAAGTACAGTAGAGTGCAGTAGTACCTGAACGCTGCTGGTAAAGCATAAACCCGGTGCATGAATTGATCTGGATAACCCACTCATAGGCAGGGTGGAGCCGACGATCGGAAGGAAGCAGCAGCATAAAAGGAGGCTATGCGGCAAGGCTCGAACATAAGCTTGGGACAATGCGGCTTCCCCCGCACTCTACGGCTCCCCGACCGTCAATGCGGGGACTGCCCACCTCCATCCATCCTTCTCCATCCTGCCATCATCACCTCAACCCTTGGACTCTTTTCTGAGACAACAGACAACTCAGAGCTGATCTTACCTATTCAAAGACCTATGATGGGTCGAGCGGTGCCGCTAAGCTTTAGACTGCATCAGCTGTGTCAGCACCCATCCTTGGGACGATATTCGCTGCTCTGCCGGCTCCACACCGCAAATTATTTATAAGATGACATTGCTTCCCAGTCAACATCGCACTTCACTTGATCCCCAAAACTTACACCACGATGCATCTCACCCTTCTCGTTTGCCTTCCTCTCCTTATCTACCTCACCAAAAGCATCCTCCAACTCCTTTATACAACATGGAAAAGCCCCTCCCTGACCTCCATCCCGGGCCCTTTTCTCGCCCGCTTCACCCGATTCTGGTACTTCAGCAGAGTCTGGAAAGGCCACTTTGAGGCCGACAACCTCAGTCTCCATGCGCGCTACGGCCCCGTCGTGCGGATCGCCCCGGGCCACTACAGTATCAGCGAGCGGACCGCCGTGAAGACGGTCTATGGCACGGGGAGCCGATTCCCCAAGTCCGCCTGGTACGAGGGCTGGAAGCATCCGTCGCCTGATCGGTGGACTCTGTTCCCGGATCGCAACATCAAGAGACACTGTACGTACTAGTTGGGCTAATGTGAAATGGCTTAAGGAGATCTCTGCTAAAGCTGTGGACCCCCTCAAGCCGAAACCCGTAAGCGATTCTCTAGCCTGTACTCGATGAGCTCCCTCCTCCACTATGAAGAGTTCGCCGACCAATGCGCCGACATCTTCCGCGACCGGCTCACCGAGTTCGCGCGGAGCGGACAAGCCGTCGACCTCCACCACTGGCTGCAATGTTACGCCTTTGATGTGATCGGTGATATCACCTTCGGCCAGCGCTTCGGTAATACACCATCCTATCTATTCCAGCTGCAGAATCACTAACCCAGAGGACCACAAGGCTTCCTCGACAAAGGCGAAGACATCGAAGGCGCAATCAGCGCCCTCCAGAAAGTCATGGCCTACAGCACGCTGATCGGCATCTACCCCGAATGGCACCCCCGCCTCTACGAACCGCTCAGCCGCTTCACATCCACCGGGCCGGCAGGCCGATCCTTCGTCATGCGATACGTCGGCGCCAAGATCCAACAACTGAACGAGCAACGCAAGATCGACCGACCGAAAGACGAAGCCACCGCCACCCCGCTCAAAACGCAAGACTTCCTCGAAAAGATGGCCCTGGCCCGCGACAAAGACCCCGAAAAAGTCACGGACTACCACCTCTTCATGATGGGTAACTCCAACATCATCGCCGGCTCCGACACCACCGCCATCAGCCTGTCAGCCATTTTGTACCACCTCCTACGCAACCCGGCCACGCTGGCGCGTCTACGCCGGGAGATCGATGACTTTACGGCCCAAAACCGCTGCAGCGCCCGCGTGACCTTCAAAGAAAGCCAGGCCATGCCGTACCTGCAGGCAGTCATGAAGGAGGCGATCCGGCTGCACAGCGCGACGGGCCTGCCGCTGTGGCGCGAGGTGCCCGCCGGCGGGGCCGAGATCAGCGGATACCACTTCCCGGAGGGGAGTGTCGTGGGCGTGAACACCTGGGTCGCGCATTACGACGAGGGAGTGTTCCCCGATGCGCGGGGTTTCCGGCCCGAACGGTGGATCGAGGCGGAGAATGGGGATCCGGCGCGGTTGCAGCTGATGAATGAGATGTATATGCCCGTAAGCCTTCCCCCTTTCACCGGTGGTTGTGATTGAGATGATCGGGCTAATGACTGATGTCTGATGCAATGCTAGTTCGGCCTGGGCTCGCGCACGTGTCTCGGGAAGCACATCTCCATCCTCGAGATGTCGAAGCTGATCCCGCAGATGGTCCGAGATTTCGACTTCCAGCTCGTCAACCGCACGTGGGACACGGATAACAAGTGGTTTGTGAAGCCGCTGGATTTTCTGGTGAAGGTGTCAGTGCGGGAGAAAGGGCCGAAGGAGATGCTGTGAGGGGGAGGGGGTTAGCAGTAGCCTCGGTAGATACCTCAACAACGTAGTCATGACCTATATAGCATGAAGAGAGATTGAAAGTGACCAATATCGCTTTTCCCTGAATGTAGCCGTAACTCCATCTCACCCTCCCAAGGCCACCGACCTAGCTCCCCCGCTCCTCCCCACCCTCCCCACCCTCCCGAATCTCAAGGGTATCCCACTTCTCCAGAAAGCTATCCAACTCGGCCTCCTCCCTAGTGCGATCCCCACCGGTCTCCGCCAACGAGCTTGGATTCGGATACAGACTGCGGAACTGCTCGCGCTGGGCGGGGCCCCACATCCGCTCCTCAAAATCGACGAACAGGGCGTGCGTCTCGGGCGGCAGCGCGACCGCGTTCTTCTGCGCCGAGACCTGCAGCATGCGCAGGATGCCCTTCATGAGCGTCCACTTGCGGGCGAAGGTGCGGGCGATGACGCACAGCTCCGTGAAGGCGGTGCGGTGGTCGACGCCGTGGTCCAGCTCCTCGACCAGCGTGAACAGCGCCATGCTGACCCAGTGGATTGTCGTCGGCGAGATGTAGTCCGGGCCCCAGGTGGCGCGGTGCGTGCGCAGGAGGTCGACGATCGCCAGCGCGGCGGTCACGCAGGTCCGGCGCGCCGTCTCCCGGGAGATGTGGCCCGTCTCGGTGGAGGGGTCCGGCTCTTCCTTTTTCAGGAGGGCCCAGAGCATGATTACGACGGTGTGGTAGAGCATGCTTTTGTCCGGGGGAGAAGAGGGCGTTAGTGGCTGGATTGTGGTGGGGGGTTTGGTTCGTGGTGGGGTATAATGGAAGAAGGAGGGGTCACTTACTGTAAGCTTAGCGATTGCGGGACGCTCAGGTTCTCCCGGGCCAGGCATGGAGGGAGCTTGGTCTTCCAGTCATCGAGTCGGGTTTGCACGTCTTGCAAGGTCTGTTCCAGCTCGTCCCGAGGGGGCTTGTGCCCACTCGCAAAGACCTTGCGGTTGGCATCGACATTGATCTCGCTCAGCGCGCAGAAGCTGTTCAGCACGCAGGGGATGTGGGATTGAACTGGATCCATTTGGCGCGGGTACGGCGTCCAGGTGTCGTCGGCGGGATGGTCGCATGGAAGAAGGGGTCGATTCGGCCGGTCGATCGCCAAATGCTTCATTAGCGAGATCGAAGCGGTCCTGGGACGAAGGTCAGTTTTGACCGGTCACTACGAATCATGTTCGGGGAGTAAACGCACGCGGTAAGATTGTAAATCCCCCAGATGGTATTATCAATCGCCCGGCTTTCCCTGAATGGAGACATCCCCGCGGGCGGCGGGGGGTGTTTCTTGGTATATTCATCTGCCATACTGCGCAGGTGGCCGAGGTATAACCACCCCACACGGTCTTTGCCCATGACCGCCATGCTATGGGATCAAGCTTTTAGTACACCGTCTTCCATAGATCATGGGGTGATCATACTCACCAGATAAATAATACACCGCACCCCTGTATGGTTGGTAAATCGAGTCGACCTTCGATCTTCTCATAGAGCCGCCGCGCCTCTTTGTAGAAATGAACGCCTTTGGAATCTGGGTCGTTGGGGTCTGCATACGCGTCCGGGTAGTCCGAATGAAACTGTTTCCAAGAGTCATTAGTCCACTAAAGACCAAGTAAACAGAAGAAAAGACGTGAATCATCGTACACATGCTTCGGCCAGGATACAGTTCACCAGGAATGGCGAGCAGAACTTCGAGTCCAGCTTGCCCGCTCTCGCGTCACGGAGAAAGAGCTCTTTATCGATCCAGTTGTAGAACGGATGACTCCAGGTCAGCCACAATGAGATCAGATGGGACACTAGTTCATCATCTTTCGTGACTGTGGTCCAAGGCGCGGCAGGCACCCGATAGACCGGTATGTCGATCAACCGCTGAATGTTGAGTGCCTGATGGGACGCGGTCCGTTTATTGTCCTCCTTTGGCCCGTGGGTTCGCTCGTGGATCTCCGCCAGCAGCGGGGTCGTCTCTCGGTCCCGCTCCGACACGTTGTGGTCCATGTAGAGCTTGATCTCGTCGAGGGGCGCCTTACTGCGGATGAGATTCAGCAGCTGGGTGGCCTTGGCGTCCGGGCTGTCCTGCAGCGTCTGCACCAGCTGAAGCAAGACATCCCGCTCCTCTTCGAGGCTCTCGATCTTCCGTTTGTGGGCCAGCTTCCGCCGCATATCATCGTCCAGTTCGAACGCGCAGGAGAGTTCCCGCTTCGTGCACCGTTCGCAGGCCGTGGCTCCGTCGGCTATTTGGCACTATTATGGATCCGTCAGCATTAAGGGGGGTCCAGTGGAAGAGAGAATTGAAGAGCTTGGAAGCATGGAAGCATCGTACCCTAGCCTTTTGGCGCTTGCAGTGAGTGCATGCTGCTGATGCCTTCCGAAGTTTCGGTACCGAGACTAGTGATTCGGAGGGAGGATTCGGATTCGGGGGATTGTGAGCGGCAAAAGGCCGGGAAGCAGGGGCAAGGGTTCTGTGACTCATTGGAAGCGGACTCAGGGTAGCTATGGAATATGGTGGACATAACGAGGGACACGGATGATGATAAGGTGTGGGGGTGGAGATGAGGTGGAGTCGAGATCAACTAGGAGGAGTATAGGACCAGTGATCGGTGGATTCGCCTCCGGATAAATGATCCGTTCCCCACCAACCCGAGCTCGGTATAGTCTGGTATAGAACGCAGATACAAAACTAAAATTGTGCATAAGCATGATCAGTAAAGGAGGATAGCTGCAGTTGATTATTGTACTGTACTGTGCCGTACTGTACTTGACACATTACTAAAGACCAACAGAATCCTGCCGTGAGTCTGATCGGCGGATTTTACCGGGCTTAGGATAGTGACATGCCCCTTGACCTGGTATATTCACACCTAATCAATGTCTGTGGAGTTATGGCCAACATGCTATCCCACATTCTATAATTCATCCAAGTCAGAATTGCGAATGCTACCCGGGGCAAGATTTACCAAGCAGATATAATGAAGGTTACTACGCACCCGCCGCAACCGCCAATTCCCCAAACCTCGATTCACCCCCCCTCTCCTTTAGGGCTACGGGATTCCCGACCTCCACCACCTCCCCCCGATCCATAACCACCACCCGATCAAAATCCATAATCATCTCCAGCCGATGACTCACCGCGATGACCGTGTACGCCCGGAACTCCGTGCGGATGATCTCCTGCATCAACCGCTCGGTTTGCCGGTCTACGCTGGAGCTGACTTCGTCCAGGAGAAGGATGCCACCGTGGTCCTCGTTAGTGCAATCCTCATCAGGGGAGGAAGAAGGTGTCAACCGCTGTCGGAGTCTAGCACGAAGCACCGCCCGCCCCAGCGAGAAGAGCTGTCTCTGTCCGGCGCTCATGGTCCCCGCGTACAGGCCTTTTTCTGTATGTTCTTGGACAAAGTCCCACAGTCGGACTGCTTCGAGGACTTGCTGGCATTCTGCTGGGGTGGCGGTGTTGGTTGGGTCGAGGTTCGCGCGGAAGGATGAGCCGTCCGGTAGGAAGACGGGGTCTTGGGGGACGGCGATGAGGCGTTGGCGGAGAGTTGCGCGGTGGATGCGGTGCAGTGGGAGATTGTCAATTATTACCAGCGGTTCCTCTTGGTGGTCATGATCGTTGCCGTTTGTGTTTGGGGAGGGGGGCAGCGGATCAAGAAGTTTCAGCAGGAGAGCGAGGAAGCTGGATTTGCCGCTGCCGGTGCGGCCGCAGATGGCCACTTTCTCGCCCGGGTGGATGGTGAGAGTGACGTTCTTGAGAGCTAGTGCTAGGGGTGGCCTGGTGGACTCAGAGTCGACCTCAGCCACGGTGGTGGACTGATATCTGGCGGATACACCGCGCAACTCGATCAGCCCGCGATCCGGCCAGTTCGTGGCGGGGACGATGTCCTCCTGTCCAGCACCATCACGGTCTTCGGGCTTGACGGTCTCGTTGAAAGTCTTCAGCCTCGCGATCGCGCCGATGGACGTCTCCAGCCTGGTGTAGTAAATGACGATCCCAGAAAGGCTTTCACCGAAGGTCATCAGCGAGTACAGGGATGCACCGGCGAAGGCCGAATTGGAATGCAGCCGCACGGCCAGCGTCGTCAGGACCGCCGCGATGACCATCACAACAAGATTAAGAACCAGGTTGAGCCACTCCTGGATCATGAGGAGGAGATACGCCGCGCGCTGGCTGGAGTCCACCAGCCGGGCGTTCTTGTGGATGTCCTCTGGGATAAAGCCGAAGGCACGCAGCGTGGCGATGCCTTTGAGTGTGTCGAGGAAGTGCGTGTAGAGCGGGCTCTTGGCCTCCAGGTCGAGTAGGCGCAGCTGCCGCGACGTGCGGAGGTAGTATTTCTGCACGAAGTAGAGCAGAGCGCCCAGGATGGGGTAACTGATGGCCAGGTAGCCGGACGAGGTAAGCATCACTGCGGCTTGGCCGATCGACTGGAAGACGCAAAAGAGGGTGTTGAGGGTCGCCTCGGGCAGTTCGGTGTCGATGAGGTTGAGATCCTGCGAGAAGAGGTTCGTGACCACCCCGGTGTCGGTATTGGTGAAGAAGGCGAGCGGAGCACGCATCAGGGTGCGTAAGGCCTGCTGGTGGAAATTGGCTCCAGCTTTCTTCACAGAAACGATGAAGAGCGTTATCCCCAGGAGGAGGAGGGCGATGATGGCACAGATCTGCAGGACGGCATAGATCCCTGCGTAGTACGAGCTGGAATGTGCAGGATAGATGGACTTGGTGGCGTCAGTCCAGTATGTGAGCCCTGCATTTATCAAGTTAGTCAACAAGTATGTGAAGACAAAGGCAGTGGAGACGCACAGATCGTTGGGTAATTGGTGAAAAGACCCCAGAGAGCCGCAAAGAACAGACTACAAGCCGCGACAAACCATCCCATGCTTATGATATACAGCTTATAGACGGTGGCGTCACCGACCTGCCTGGCTGTGACCGCCGCTGGGCAACCTGAGGTAGATATTTGCGTGCTGTGGACTGTGATCCCGGGTTCGAGTTTCTTGCCATCCACAGTCTGGCCTTTGTGCTCGGGACCAGGACCAGGCTTATCGTCAGCAGCAGTGATATCCTCGCCCTCCTGCTTTAGTCCCACCTCCAGATGCTGAACATAACCCGCGCGGCTCGACAAATCGCTAAAGGTACCCTGCTCTGCAACACCGCCATCTTCGAGCGCAATAATGTAGTCCGCAGCGGGGAGATGCCGGACACTATGGGTGCACAGAACCACCGTCGACCCCCTTCGTCGCAGTAGCCCATCCGGTCCAAAGACCTGCCGGAAGACTTGCTCCTCAGTATCAGCGTCCAACCCGCTGAACACATCGTCCAGGATCAAAAGGTCGGAAGGTAGGTATAGTGCTCGCGCAAGAGACAGACGCTGCCTCTGCCCGCCCGACAATGCTACACCGTCCGACCCAATGTTCGTCTGGTCTCCCTGAGATAAGGTAGCGAGGTCGAAGCGCAGGCAAGTGGCTTCCATAACTTGGTTGTACCGCTCGCGGTCAAAGGGTGTGAATCCGACAATATTGTCTTGGATTGTACCGTTCCACAGAAAGGCCGTTTGTTCGCAGAAACCAACGTGACGGGGGAAACTGCCCGTCACAACGCTGCCCTGACTGAAGGGAATTTCTCCTAGAAGGGCCTTGCAGAATGTAGATTTACCTGAGCCGACGGGACCGACGATCATTGTCAGGGACGAGGCGGGGATTTGAGTGCTGATGCTGTTCAGGACAAACTTGTCTGCTTTCCATCCGAAGTTTGCGTCTCGGATAACGATGCAATTCGAACTATTCTCCATGCTGCCAATATGGGTCTCGATCAGGGGCTGCCGATAGTCCTTACGAGGCTCCAATTCTAAGAATGCCTGAATTCGACCCAAGCAGGCCAGGCCTGAGACGAGCTCAGGAATCGACTGGAACAGCTGCGACAGCGGCTGAGTCAACAGCGTCAGGAATGAAAGACTGGTAAACATGGTTGAAGCGTTCAGTGTGGTCCGGGTGAAAGCGAAGGTCAGTGGAGGGCTGATCAACTGCGGCATGAATGCGAAGATGGCAGCGATAATCATAATCCTGCGGTATCGAGCGCCAGCCGCGAGCTCGTCGACCCGCAGCTGCTGCACGTACTCCGCCACGGGACCCGTGAGACCGGATATTTTGAGCGCTTTCATGCTAGCGATGACGGTGGCAGTGAGCCCGACCCGTTTCTGAACCCCGGACATCCAGGATCGCTGCGAGTCACCGGTGAAGTTGATCAGGATCCCTAAGCCCACGAAGCAGACTACCACCACGCCTACGCAGGCAATGAACACGACCCCGAGTTGCCGATAGAGCATCCAGGCGGCGAGACCGGCCTGGATCAGGCTCGCCCATGTCTCGTGTACGGAGCGGAGACCCATTCGGATGCGCTCCATATCGGTGCTCATGAGTGTTAGCGCAGCGTTATCATCGCTTGATCCAAGCCGGGCTCTCGTCGCGGCATGGAACATCTCAGTAACTAGGATGGAGCGGACCATCGTCCGTAGTCGGTGATGGCAGTACCAGTACAAGGCATACGAGACCGCAATTCCCGAGTAGACGAGTACGGCTGCGCCGATTAACCCATATCCCACATTTGGATCTGGCTCCGAATGAGAGAGATACGTGATGAGACTCCCGATGAATAGAGGCTGGCAGATATAGAAGACAATCAAAGCCGCCCTTGGAGGAATAGGCAGAAGTAATTGCACCCACAATGTACGGAGGAGCACCTTCAGAAGGCCAAACTTATCACCCTTCAGCTTGGCGTAGTCCATTTTCGTCGCGAATTTCTCATGCAGGGCCTGTGCATCGAAGGTGCTGTCGAGGGGGTACAGGCTTTCGATGGTAAAGGTGTGTGTATATCCAGCCCAGAAGAGCTTGTTCAACCAGAAGAAGACTCCTAGCGAGAATATCCCACTTGTCTCCTCGGGGCTGTGTTTCGTTGCGTCCCAGCTCACCCATCTCGCCTTTTGGAAAGCCTCCAGTATCAAGATGGCGGTCTTCAGCCCGACCGATGCACAGAATAAACTGCTGTAGGTGAGTTCAGAACCGCGGTCTGACGACAGGTACAGAGTTCTCGCTCGAGCGATATCGAGGAGAAGGGTGAGAAGCAAGTAGCTGTTAAGCAGCATCGAGGGTCTAGGGCTGCGGCTGTGGTCCACCACGCTCACCGTCAACATGAAAAGGGCCGATAGCAGCTGCAGGACAGAGGAAGCGATAAGCAGGCAGCTACTCTGAAAGGAGCCGACCGCGGCGAGTATAAGGAGCGCAAGTTCCAAGCCAGAATAGACCACAATGGCACCCTAAGCAGTCAGTACGTGGAAACTTTGCACGGTGTATTAGAGAAGAGCATACCGTTTTGATGGACTGCAGGATGGGCGCATTCACCACCACAGGCTTGCGTATCCGTGCTGCAGTGCGCCATAGAGATGATGAGATAAACAAGACGGAAGGAATAATTGAGAAAAAGAGACTCTCAAATTGCAGGTTGAAGTCAAATTGCTTTTGGTTGAGGTGGAGTATGTTGCCCTCCCCGTTGGCGAAGGGCATTTTGGAAACCGTGATTACCACTTCTCCAAATCTCTACTCTCTGAAGCAAGAGGAGGGAAGAAAGATTTGAGATAGGGAAAGGCAAGAAAGGATGGCGAAGTTGCGTTATAAGTGCAATCATTAGCGCACACGCGATTCTGGGCTACATGGCCCAATCACCAGTCAGGCTTGATGCAGGGTAGGAAATTGCTTACCTTACACCGACCGGAGGAGAGCAGAACTAGGCGCCTTGACCTTATACTCCTTTCAAGCACTTCAGCCACTTGCTTACGTTACTTTCTTGGGTGTCTAGTCTCTCCAGCCAAGCATTAGGTCTAACTCTAGACCCTCTAGTCATTTCTCAGGAGATTCACCCGTCAGCAGCTATTTCGGCTGCTAGCCACTGGGTGATGTCAGCATCTGACTGTCAGCCGTGAAACCAGTACCTCACTTCGTTCAAGATATTATGCCTAGATATAAAAGGGAGGTTTACCTCAAATATAGAGACAACAGAGCTATTTGGTGAATCGGACAAGAACGGCCTAAGAGTGGAGCTGGAGGCTCGTCGAAACGGAATGCGGGCCGAGGTACAAGTATGAGTATACACAGCAGGTGGAGTCTGTGGATAGTCCTCCTTAGACAATCGAAGTAGTAGTCCGCTTACTCGTATACCCAAGTAATCGGAGTATTGCCAACTAGAAGCATCGAAGTCACACAATGAGATCGTAAGGTCCGGAGAGATCACGCCACTGGAAGAACAGCAGCCTATTTGCTGGGTGCCTGATCGGCAACTCTTACCCTGCCCAGGGCAGTGAGAATTTGATAGCTCGGTATGGTAGAACCGGACAATGGGTTATCCCCATTACGGGAGTTACGGAGGGCAACGAGAATGCTTCTTTTCAGCTTTTTTATCACGCCATTTACCCTAGAGAGAATATTTGTTGGTCTCAGAGACTCTATCGGATCTAAAGCCTAGCTCTGGTTTGGCGTTCATTCTGATTGTCAGGAGTACGTATTTATTTTCTTCAAGGATTGGCCCTCTGAGCATGCCTGCTAGTGTATATTATAGCCACTTATTATAGTTCTTGATCTTAACGTAAAATACACCCACGCTAGTCAGATTCAAAATCACCCAGCGCGGCCGTATGCTATGGCATTAGGCACTACCATGTCTCTGCATGGTTGGCTAGTGGACAACGGGGATTATGATGTGCTCACATCCACCCGCTTTGCCGGCGGAGGTGGAATCTCCACAAGTCTTGTATCCCGCCCAGAACACGAGGATTCTGATCTGAAGACTCTTCGTTGGCAATACGAAGCCGCTGGTTGACCAGATCAAGATCAAATGAAATCAAGGGTCGGTTTCAGAACGTCCAAAGATTGTCAATTACTGCGGAGCTTCTGCAACAAGACCAGTGTTTCCATACTGGATATTCCAAAGGCCAACGTACCGTGACACAAACAGGGCTGATTGGGAGGAAGAAACGCTTTAGTAGGATATGCAAAGCAGCTAAAACGCCCAGCCGTCCAAGTCCATAATACCTAGCTTTAGTCCTCGGGTGCCTTGACGCGGAGGAAGGTTATTTGACCCGAGGCATGGCCCATGATCAGAAGATCATCGCTGGCTAGGGCACACGTAGCCCGGTACTCCAAGGGCAACAGAATCCTTTCCTTGCCAGCCACCACCCATGTATCATCCACTAATAGATCACGAGAAGAGGCATATCTCGATCCGGAATAGAAGGATCGAACATCCACTCGACCGACGTTCGTGTCCAGGGTTGCACCGTCGGCCGAGAAACGCAGGGTTTGTGGACAGGCTGCCACCGTCCGGGTGCCGATCAGCTTACCCGTCTGCACGTCCCAGAGGTCTGTTCTGCCCTCGGATAAGTCATATTCCCTGCTGTAGGTGGAAGCTAGCAAGCTGGCATCCGGGGAGAAGGCAAGAGCGCGATTCGCCTCTCGTCTGAATCCCGCTATGGTGCTCCGGATCAAGGTCCAAGTATCCGTTTTCCAAAGCCAGAGTCTGCCCCACTCACATATGCATGCTAGATATACCCCATCCGATGACCAAACAATGTGAGTAATATCGCTTTCGAGGTCGTCAGAAGATTCCAAGCTGCTGTCGTCGTCAGGAAGGAGTTCCACAGGGCGTCCGTCTTGAGCAAGGAAAACACTGTCATTAGGGGTAGCGGGCGTAAAGGGTACTGCAAGCTTGATTTCGAGACCTTTCGATGCCAAATTCCAGATTAAAACGCAGTTCTCGGGAGATGTCGCTCCGGCCAAGAATTCACCATCTGGCGAGAATGATAGACAACAGACCACTCCACCATGCCCCTTCAACGGTGGCTGCAGCTCGCCAGTATTGCTCCCCCAGACTTTGACAAGGTAACTATCACTTTCGCCAGGAGACTCTGTGTCGTAGACTGCGCCGGCGCAAAGACTGCTGTCTGGACTGAAGGTTACCACGCAGGGGTGAGACTCTCCCCTCTTCAGGCTGTGTACCCGGTCCCCGGTCTCCGTGTTGTGGATATGAACTGTCCCATCCACACAATTTGCTGCGAATGATTGTCGGTCGTTCGTCAGAAGCAGATCCAACCGTGGTTTGATCCACTCCTTTTTAGCTTTCTTGTCACATATGAAACCCCAGGCTGTAGATGCATAGATCCATAGCCCGTCAGCTTTCTTGACAAGAGAATCCAATTTCTCTTCCTCCGGCCATTCTGAGCCAAAGTGGTGCCACTGGGATACTTCGCCAAATTTGTGCTTGAGGACCATCTTGATATCACGATGAGACATTTCCAGATCAATAGGTGTTTCTGCCCCCTGAATAGCCTGCTTGCAACCACGAGATCCAGTTACCACATGGTCAAAGCTTGAGAAGATATGGCTTTGTGGGCGGCTGGTGAGGAGAAACTTCAGACGAATCGAGCGCAGTTGATGCGCTTCGTTGATCAGTTCTAATATGGTATAGACAGGATCTTCGTTGTGCGTAGATTGACACCCATCAAGTTCATCTATGACCACAATCAACGTGACAGGCAAGAGGTGATTGTTCCTTTCCAAGCCCATCAAGGGCTTAAGAATCAAATTCTATCACTGCATCCGGACCGAGGCATGTTCATTGCTCGACTCCGGATGCTCTTCAAGCGACTTACGAATCTCGGACTTGAGCTCGGGTAGACAATTCGCAAGCGATTGGCAAAGAGTGGGGAAGAGATAGGTGGCATTGCTCTGCCGGCTCTCATTCTTGTCGGTCGAAGAAAAAGCTGGCACCGAGGCAAATAGTTTCCGGGAGGGATGTTCGGTCACGACATCGCTCCGCAATGGTTCGTGAGATGGTAGACTTACCCCCACCGGCTACCCCACAGAGCCAGAAGATGTGTTCTGGCCCAGGGGACTGAATCCAGTTATGAATCTTCTTGAGGATGCCAATCTGAGTCCCTGCAAAGCATTTATCCTTGGTGTCATTTTTCTCGGCCCCAATTCCCGCTTCGGGTGCAATCTTCAACCTGTCGAATATCTGGTTATCCACAATTGTCTGGTTGATTTGGTCAATAAGCGGTTGGGAGCTGGATCAAGACATCTCCATACCTCAAGTTCTTTCTTCAACTCGCGCGAGGTCGTCTCGAAGCGCTGGTCCAAGTCCAAAAACGTAGCGCTATCCATTGCTTCTATGTCGCGTCGAATTCCTTTGTCCAGGCCCTCGATCGTCTGGAGCATCCCCTTCCAGTCTTCCGGGGCTGCCAGATCTTCCAAAATTCTGAAGATACTGGAACGAGAATAGTGCCGCGCGAGGCGGATTTGGAAGAGAAGGATATTGGCGTATAGTTTGATGATCTGGGCTCTAATGGTTTGGGCCAGGGCCTCCTGTTGCTTTGACCGAGAGGTCGTTTCTGCCGTGGAATATCTCTGGACCCAATTCTGTTCCACAACCGCGTAAAGGGTCAGAAGCCTTGTAATGGATTCAAATCCATTCGAAGCATCTGCATCCTGCGAGAGGGTTCGGGTGATGGGTCCGACTAGGAGGACCAATGCTCCTGCCCACGCGAGGGCGGCGTGGGGCTCTGAACCCACTGCCGTAGTGACGAGGCCTTGCACCGAGATAAGTAACTTCACGACGCGGTCGACCTGATCTTTGACAATGATCTCTTTTCCTCCGAGGTGGAATCTGGTTCGAGAATTCTGGATGTCCTCGAATCTTCGCTCCACCACCGAGCAAAGACGCGGACTGATGTCAAAATCCCCTTCCTCGGCATCCTTGTCCTCTCTGCTGTCCTCCAAAAGGGCGAGCTGATAAGCTTTGATTACTTTGGTTGTGTTTGGGTCGCACGTGAGATGCTTATATGCCTCTCGCCAAAGACCTCTGAGGTCTGTAGCCGTTTCACCGGGAGCCTCATTCTCGGAAATGTCGACTGGTTGATCAGAAATAGATGGAACCAGTGTTGTAAAGTTATTTTTTGCAGCTTGGGGTCTCGGAGAGTCACCCTGGGGGTTGTTGACAACTTGCGCAGCTGCTTGTGGCTGGTCCGTGGTCCGATCGTCCTTCCCCTTGCTGGAAAAAACCCCCAAGAATAATTTCCAACAGCTCCCAGACGAGAGCCTGGCATCGTGGGATGTTGGGTTCCCCATGATTGACGACGGGGACACTTAGAGTTGAGGTATTGAGTTGACGAGAATGAATTTCCAGGCCTCCCACGTCGGAAGTAGCGAGTGCGGAGCTCAATCTGAGGGGCATTCAGCTGCTGTTGTGGGTCACGATGATTGGACTGCTGTCTTCAAGCAAACTGCAAATCTTAACCTATCACACTGCGCTACTGCAGTGATGTGGCAGTGGAGACTTGAGATGCGTCGATGATCCACCAATCTGAATCACCTTTCAGCACTAGCGCGAGATCCCAGCCCCGACTTCAATTCCAGTTCATAAGTTACATGACCCCTGAAAGGTGGTTGGAAAATCCCTTCACGGCTGAAAGCATTGACTAGAAATGGTTCTGTCATCGCAGCAAGCAGGAACTTCATCTTTTCGTTGTTGAATTAGCTTTAAGACCATACTCCAGGAAATCCACTTCATGTCATGAAGGATGTCTGCTTCCTCGATCGCGATCGCGAGTACGCTAATATCTACGCTAATCGCAAAGCCAATCTTGCCCCAAAGAAGCCAACAGCCTGTGCCCGCGGGTTCCAACCGTAGAAAATGTGTTTGGGGGGTTTTTGGTGGTGGTTATAGTGTAGTCCACGTCGCGTAGTCCACGTCTTCTGATGTAAAGAGATGTAATTTCAACTCGGGTGGCCAAGATGTGCAGAAGAAATCTATCTTTCAACTGTATCACCTAGTTTTCGGCTTAATCCTCTGTACTTGGTTTGGGTTCTAACCGCTGCTGTTGATGCACAGAAACGTGTAAAATATACATATTGTCCGCTACTCCAGTCAGCTGAAAAGTCTATCCAAAAGTTCATGTCGGATTAGAAATGGACATCCCTCACTATAATGATATTTTGCTTTATCATAAAGGCTTCTATTGTTTAAGTGTACTATTGAAAACCTCTCAATCATTTTCTGGTACAAGATTTATATGGTCGAAGTAAGAAATCATATTCATACATGTGAGGTTAGCTTGAAGTGATTGTCCCACTTCAACCCTGCTAGTGATGTTGTGTGTCACAAAGGTCTTTCTTCCTTAAGTATTCGTCGTCCTACATGGCAATACAGACTGATGATTGCCAGTCTACTTAGCAAGTCGATCACACAAGTCTCCTCTTCCTATTCCCTTCTGCGGCCACCCCGCGCTATGAGTCAAAATATGCATCCATTATAAATCTCAACAGTATGGCGAAAGCTTTTTGATGAGGTATCCGACTATGCGATGATTTTCTATAGCTAAGATGAATCACATAAAAAGTAATCAAGGATGAATTAAATCATATTTTCATGATGTCTCTGTGTGGCATAACCCGATTAGTCTGGGGGCCATTAATTCGATACCGCAGACATGTTCGTGGAGTAGTTCGATTCAGGACAGGTCCCTACTCAAACCGACCTAGATCTACCCTTCGGAGGAGATAGCGGCTCTGAACGGACAACGGGATGATAACTGGATACATCGTACATGCATCGTCAGTGGCATACTTAAACTTCAACGTTGGAGGTTGCGCGCGGGTTGCCGTATTGTCAACTCTCGTCACGATGATTGTCAGACAAAGGTAGAGGGTCTTGACCATGGCATTGTGCATGATCTTAGAAGAGTGTCAACCATTTGTCCATCTAGTTCTCGTTTCCTGAAAACGCTGACGTTCCTTTTCGACAGGGGAAGGATATAGACGGGTATCAGAGTCTCGCATTCAGGGGCCGTCTGGTAGTCATAATCGGTAATGTTGAGATCGACCACGAAATAGGAGTGCTTGCCGGGGTGGATATTGACGGTGACGGTGACGAAACAAGTCTCATTATCTGCACTGTATTCATGAAGACAATCCTGGACCTGTGTGGCAAAGGGGCGTATAGACCCTAAATAATCTTCAGGGTCAAGAATAATTTTCGGAGTATCACCGAGTATTCGCATCGTGCCGGAACCAGTCGTCCTACACAGATCGAAAAGAACCCATCGGATTTGGCGCAAAATGCGGTCGCGAACATCTTCGCTTGAGTCATCGATGGTGGAAGTAATGATATCTGTTCTCAGAGGTAGGATAATGGAATATGATGAACGTTGCCAGCTTCCCCGCTTCTTGTATAAAGGAGAATTGGGGTTTTGAATTCCATCAATATGCCCCTACTCCAAAGGAGAGGAATAATGATACAAGCTCCTCTCTCTCAACCACATCTTCCAGCACGCCCGGCTCGATGCGATCAGGATCATAGGGCCGGCTTTCGGGATAGTAGGCTTGAAGGGGTCGGGCTCGGTGAGAAAGGCGTCGAAGAGGTTGGCCTCAGAGACATACGAGTTGAAGAAGTAGAAGATTTCTTGGAAGTCGTTTGACTCTTCTTTGGGCCAGTGATCAACATAGAACAGATCGGCCGAGTCAGCATGCTCGAAAACCTAAGGGGTGAGTTTCTCTGTTTCGTCATCACTAGTGGGCATCTAAGATGGAATAGTAATCTGGACCCTTTTCATGGGATTGTAAATTGCTGGGAAAGAATTGACCGATGTCGATCATTGTTGAGTTGATTGTGGCCGACATGGTAGGGGTGGGCTGTGGAGGCAGCTCTGGAGCAGTACCTACCTAGTACAGTACATTAGTAGAAGGTGGGGGGTGTTAAGGGTGTTTGCCCAGTGGTCACGGGGTGAAACTTTTGTTTACCAGACTCGCGGCTCAGCTATTTATCCGGGTTCCAGGAGCGACCCGGAAGTGATGAATACCTAGTAGTAACAGGTAGTCATTTCGGTGAAGTAGTGTCATAAGGAACTTGGGACTCTGGAAGCCAGTCGGAAAAGACCTCGGGCCCTTTGGTTCAACAAAATACCGGCCCGGCTGTTTATCCGTACTCTTGGGGCGGGTTGTAGTTTCCATCTATGGTTGGTACAGTACGGTACAGTACAAGTGTACCTTTAATGGTGAGAACATTAGGCCACTTCATTCGTAATCCATGCCACCGTGGCCAAGCTCGTGATACTTGTTTTCTCAAAGTACATGAGTCTGCACTCTACATGAATGTATAGTATTTAACGTGTAGACGAAGTGACACTAAGGGTGGGCATGCTGCGTACGTCGCGTAGATTATGTTTATGTTGTGGCGGACTTCTCATCTTTGCCCTCGGTGTATCTTTCACCTCGGACATCGTTCCTCTCCACCCCTAGTCAACCACTTCAAAGATCCACTCGTCTTGACAACGCTTACTGCATGCCTTCCTTCCTAAATTTGAGAAGCAGCCGGAAGATGGCCCGAGGTGGTGATTGATTAATTGATTCTTGATTTGTAGTAAGAGAGTGCGGTCAACTTCCGTGCGCCGCACACGCCATCCCGGTCTTGACTAATATCAGAGCAGCGACAAATTAAGAATTGAGTCATGGTGCACGGGGGGGTCCGGATGTAGTGGCTTATCGCCGATAGCGGCTCAACTCACACGAGAAGTTAAGCATGGCCAAGACCTCCCCTATCCATTCAAACCCACAGTCTACCCACAGTCTGCGGCTTGACTGACCCGCCACTAGACAATTTGCGGAAGGGGACGCGACGGCCATATCCGCAAGCCTTGCTATTGGCCTAAAATTCGGCCGACAGCCTTACCTGCAGAACGTTGAAGGCATCAAACTCGCCGGACCACGTTTTGTACTCCACAACGGGGCGGCGCGGACGTGCAGATTATGAACCATAAAACCCCTGCCCCTGCCTTGGCCATATGCCCAGGTTAGTCTGGTGTTAGGTGACCGGGTTTCAGGGTCAAGTCTGTCGGCGGTCGTTACCACAAATTGTATGAAAAGATTTTCACTCGGCCAAAATGCAGATCAAGACGAAGACAGGTGTCACGACGCGCAGCCCCCGGAGCAAAGGCTGTCTCATGTGTCGTCGCTCGAAAGTCAAGGTAGGATCATTTCTTTCTCTATGATCTCTGATTCGAGATTCTCGGGGATGGAGACACTGATGAGAATAATCAAGTGCAATGAAGGGCATCCGCAGTGTAGCCGCTGCGTCCGTCGGGGCACTGAGTGTAGCTATCCTGATGCCCTAGAGCTCGATTTTCGCGATGAAAACAGTAAAGCAGCAGCCCGCACTGCTGCTCTCTGGCGAACGCGTACCCAGGCGGCAAGACTGCTGCGTGAACCCAGCGCCCCCAGCCGCACACTGGAGGATCTTCACGACCGGGTTATAGCGTCATTCTATCGAGATTTCGACTGCAGCGCCAAGGTCTCCAACCCCTGGATCGAATTCTTCCAGATGCTACCCACACTCTACCGCCAATCAGCCAGAGTTCCCTCCTCCCCCACCCGCCAGGCGATCCGTGCCCTGGCTCTGGCCCACCATTCGCGTCAGCAGCAGCAGCCTGTCCCACAGCTGGAGATCATGGCGCGGACCGAGTACTCGCACGCTATTACCCAGATTCGGCTCCAGCTGCAGCGAAGTCACGGGGTTCCGAGCACGGAGACCGTCGTCTCGGTTGCGCTAATGGGGCTCTTTGACTCAATCCTTCCCAGCCCGGACCCAGTGCATTCCTGGCATGCGGCCCACCAGCACGGAGCTATCTCCATGGTGCGGCAGCAAATCGCCTCCCCCACCTCGGCGGCCAGCATTGATCCTTATCTGCTCAAATATCAGTACCTGCTAATGGTAATCAATTGCTTAAATCAACGATCACGGCCGCAGCTCCCATTAAAATGGTGGGCCGCGGTGATGAACCCGGGATTCTCGGCCGCCCATCTGTTCTGTACCATGTATCGGCTCGCACAGTGGCAAGCCGAGATCGACTCACACATTGTCACTTTTAACCACCACGCCATGTCTAACATGGTCGACACTTTACTCGCGGCCGATGATGCATTGGATGCATGGGAAACCCAACTACCCCCGAGCTCTCACTTCTCCGAGCGGGAGGTCGGGGGCGATGATCCCGCGATCCTGCAATGGTCCGGCGCCCCATCCCGGGTCTACGTCTACGAGACTAGCTGGAATGCCGTGCCTCGCACTTTTTGTTTCGCCACACGCATCATGATCTGCCAAAATATCCTACTGTGCCACGGCTACGCGCAGGATGCAGAACAGACCATTGTGGAGATGATTCGACACATCTGCCGCAGCACTCACGCAGTAATCAGTGGTGGCGGTGATGGCAGCAACGACGCGGAAGAAGGGCTTTCGATGCGCGGGCGGGCGATTGTGTGGCCGCTGAATGTCGCCGCCTCTGCCCTCCAGCGCAACCCGAGGGTTCTGGCGCAGGTGGGCGTGGAGTCTGCCCAGTGGACGCGACGAGCTCTTCAGCATGTGCTGAGGCTCTCTGGGAGTAGTTTGGCTCTTAACCTGGATTACAAGACGGAACAGTGAATGCTTGACTTGTTCCAAGCATTTGGATCGTGTAGGTCAGTAGGAATGGGTGCTTGAATGAATAGCACTATGGGGGGCCTGGTTGATCTTATATGTGTGTTCATGGGAAAGATTCTTTGTGGGACTTCTCCAGGCAACTACATTGATCCCATCCAATCAAGAAATTGGCGCAGCCAAAGACGACCCGACCCAGGGATCCGGCTCACTTCCAGCCCTGCCAAGGAAGCTTAATCTCCAGCTGCGGAGGGAAAATAAACCCTCCGATCGGGACGGAAGTGTACCTGAGGCCGACCCAAAGCGGTATTTCTTCCGGCCCTGAGTGAAAGTTTTCCTCTTTTCCTCTTCTTCTTCCCCCTCCTTTCTCTCCCCCATTCATCTATACTTCTTTCCTGTCCTGCTATCATCTCTTCCATACTTGGTCTATATTTGTCTCTCTGACTTTCAAACACCAACTCGCTGCAATCCTGCAATCATAATACCCGCTATTTCTTCTATCGACTCCGAATGGCTGATCCTCGCTCTATGAACTCGCTCGTGTCCATCATCTCCCCCATCCCACGCGTGCTGGCTCTACTGCAACTCTTCTGCGAATCGGCAAACCTCACCCACCCGCCGTAACTTCCCAACGCGAAATGAACTACTTTACACCTGTCTTTCGATGCGAGGTGGAGGGGATCGCTGAGACTCAGTGGCTGGGAAGTGGTATGGACGCAAAGATGGACATGAGCGACACTCCGCCCAATGAGGTCACTGGATTCCGGGTCAGACGGAGCCCAAGGCTTGTTGATCGCTGCCTCGATGTCATGGTCCGGATTTCCGGATCTGTACCGGTCTTTTTCATGATTCTAGCCGGTCTGTTGACGTGGGCTCTGTTGGGCATTCGCTTTGGAAACTTGAGCGTCTGGATTGCTTCCATCTCCGATGTTCAAGCTATTCTCTGTTACGTCTTTGATTCTTTTATCATGCGTCAGCTCCTGCGCCAGTATTCCGAGCAGCGCGAAGCCATAGTCGAGCTCCGGTCCCGCAGCCACAGTCATCAACGCATGCTCGCCAGCATCCAGAGGAAGCTAGGACAAGACGGGATCCGTCAACTCGCCGAGAAGTGCAACGCGGAGCCTGTGGAGCCAATTGATTACAGTTTGCACTCTCAGGGGCCTTTGGCTCGGGGTATCATGCACTCCGCGAGGGCGTTTGGGCATGTACTCAGCTCCCTTCTCTTTTGGGTCTGTGTCGTGATCTGGCTAGGCTTCGGTCCGCATTGCAGCTGGTCTGACCGGTAGCAACTCTACATCAACGACGCGACATCCGCGCTGATGATCCTGGTATTTGCGTTTCTCGCCTGCCTCCGAGAACGCTACGCGGATCATAGCAACACCTCCCTGGATGCCATTTTCCGACTCGACTCGACCCTCGAGATGAAGCTTCGCTGCTTGACAAAGGAGGATCTACCAAACCCTATGGTGGTTGACCCCCCACCCAAGGAGAATATTTTGCAGGTTGTGATCTTCTACTACGCGGACATCATTGGAACCTTAGTCGGCCTCGTGTTTCTCGTGCTTGTGATCATCGCCTGGGCTGCGGTCGGCCCTGTCCTCCACTATGACAGTAACTGGTGGCTCCTGATTGGGACGTACGCCGGACTGGTGGGTCTATTTGACAGCTTCGTTCTTCGTAATGTTCAAAGCAAAATGCATCAGTACATCAAGAGCCAGATGAGGATGGTTTTGAACGCAGATGCGGCGCTGCTCACAGAACTCTTCCTTGCTACCGATGACAGCGCAGGCAGCAGCGCCCCGCGCCAATCTCTAAGCCAGGCAGTCTCCCGCCAGATGGATGCGGTTACCTCCCATGTTCTCATGGTTATGGCAGGCTTTTTACTCACCATCGGCTGTGTGGTTGCGTCCAGCGCTATGAAGTGGAGTCTAACCGGACAGTTGATCTCGAACGTACCGCCCAGCATCATCGAGACCTTCTTCATGCTGATTCTCATCAATGGTCAGAACGACGCCGAGGCCAGCGTCCATAGAGACCTGGACGACTTGTACCACCACCGCCAGCGACTGTTGTCCTTCACGCAACTTACGAAAGAGCTTTTGGAAGTACATGGGCAGTCAGACACTGCTACGATGCCTGCGCCGTGAGAAGACACTTACATCGCGCGGCTGCAGACAAAAATATGTGGACATTTAACATGCAGGGTAATTGTTGCTGGTGTTCAAGTCTGAGGTCTCAATCTGAGCGCTGAAACCTTCATCAATGCGTATTTTGTATGACTGCGCACTTGGTCGGCTGTATCTGCTTTTTATTGATTGCTGGTTAATTGCTTATGATTTTTTTCTGTGGCGTCATTGCCTTTTGGGGATGAAATTGGCTTCCAGCTCTCGCTGGTATAATACTTCTTGCCTCTCCCATGTTAAGATTAGTTTGCCCTACTTTCCACTCCTAGACAAGACAGTCAAGTCTGTTACTTGCTACTTAACAACTCTTGCCGTTTTAATTGCAAAAAAGAACCCCCGCAAGTTATGCAGCCCGGTCCTTCTACTGTTAACTATTCCTGATACTTTTTTTTGATTTATGTTTCATTTCTAGTGATAAAAGGTCGTGCATGTACTTTATCTTTATTTTTCTACTACTCTCGATCTGCATATAAGCCACCCCTACAGGAAACCAAGAGGATCCAGGGCACGCTTTGCCTTGGCTCCCATTTGAATCCTCGTAATAGAGCTTCAGTCTATCAAATCTGTCGGAGGCGCTCCCAATCACAGTACCCAATAGAAGTGACAACAGCTAATTTCTATTGCCTTTACTAGACCTGCAAGATGATCTAAGGATGAAAGCAGAAAGCCAAACAACGTAAAGGTGGATAACTCATCACGATTCAGTATCTGGGTGCATCTGATATCAACAATACCTACTACCAAGTCATCGGATCCCATATCATTTCCTCTCAAACAATACACACGAGTCGAATACGAACTGTTTTTGCTGGATCTGTTTCTAGCTTGATGGCTGTTGAAGATGACATTAGGGATATGGGAATATCCTGGCCCCTTGGTCACCGCTATCCTACATATATCTTTTATATTATGGGCTTTCTCATTTTTCTATCCCATTGAGTCTCACCTGCCGCGACGTCGAGTGTTTGGCGTTTGCGAGGCACATGAAGACGAACGTGTACCTACTTGGTGTACAACTGTACAGTCCATAGTTATAGGATACTGTGATATTTTATAATGCTTATAACAATACATGATCACACCTGAGCCGAGCCGAGCAACTTCCACTGGGGGTGGGGCGGAGTGCTCGCCTCGTTTTGTTCGGAATCGAACAGCTGCCCATTTGTTAGGTTTCTCTCCGAATGTTTTGAGATCCCCACACCCTCACTGATTTAAAGTCTATGAAGTTTCTAGGGGAGGTTCTCGGTCTGGGAATGGAGTTGATCACGGCTTATTTGCTCTACAAGCGCTCGGAAAAACGAAGAACTGGTATGTCATGTCACGTCGCCTGTATGGTTCCTTGTGACCCTCGCATGCTTATTTGCATTTCGCTCGAATAGAAGCTGGAGTAGGAACTCAATGATCGTTCTCTGTAGGCGTGACCGCCGACGGGGACTTAGACGCGTCATGGATTCGACCGATTGAGGAGGGTATATACAGAATGGGAGAGTATAAGGTCTGGATACTGTGGTTGTTGCGGCGATATATTTAGTTTCGGAAAGGTGCTTGCGCCTACTTTGGCACCCCCGCTGAAGATGAGATGTGTTTTTAGGTTTGGTAGAATGTCACCCGTGCCCAGTTGAGCAGGTGAAGAGAGGAATTTGCTTTACCGGTGCTGATGATACACGACCAAGGCACTGAGGGAGTCGGGCCAGGAAGCTCGAGGATAACAATAGTAACTTGGAAGCAGGTTAGCGGATATTACGACAGCACATGATGGTTGTGTTCTGAAAATGATCTGGTCTTGTTAGAGATACTATATAGTAGTGAGTTAGGGCACAGTTGAGATCGAGTAACACCAACTGGCATCTCACTTCACCCCTCCATAGCCCTTCTGTATGCATTTCTTATCCTATCACAGTAATTATAATCATAATCGAACTGGACAGGATAGCGAAGAATATTTGCTCCTGGCCTTTGTCCTATCCCTCGATCTCAACCCCTGTATTGTTATTCCTGAGCCTATTCGCCTCCGCAGTCTGTCTAGCCTGACCGAGCGCAACAAGTTGGCTCTTCAATACCTTCATACTCTGAATACTCACCCCTTCCTCCGGATCGAACAGCGCATCGAACGATACTACTTCACCTCTGGCCCGCATCACGGTAGTCAAAGCAATCGTCCTGACCAGAGTAATAACCTCACTGCCCCTAATAGCAAGACTGACCTTCTCTGGCATCTTGTGGTCCCAGTATATCTCCGGCGAATTATCGATGCCCCGTGGCGGGAGCGTCAGATCGAAGACCAGCCGCGTAAAAGGGGAAAGCTTCATCAATTCCTGTCTCCATGCTTTGCTGAGGGGGTCGAGATTCAGGAATTCGTGTTTAGCGTTGCAGCAGGATGTTGCTGCAGGGTTGGAGGGGGAGGTCGCACGGGGTCGGCGACATGATTCGAGGATTTCTGTGTTTCTGAGGGGCTGGAGTAGAGCGATCGTGGCTTGACGTTGGTTGGAAGTCGGGATGGATTCGGAACTGAGATGAGGTAAATTCTCTATATGGCAAAAGTTGTGTAGGACCGTTGCATCGAAAGTGTTTTGGGAGAGAGACATTTTCAACGCAATGGGAGAAGAAGAAGAAGAAAAGTCAGCATGGAGGCAGCTTTGAGAGGAGGGGCAGGCCCGTTTTAAATAGGGCTGACATCACATGCGCAGTCTAGCCTTGTTTAAACAATGAGTCACTTCGTGCATCCAGCCTGATTTCTACTCGGATATAGTTCTCTTGCGCAGTTTTGCCTGGGTGGCGAATGTCAACCGGGCGACTGCAGGGGTCTAGCTAAGAAGCGTGAACTCAATATCTCGCTGGTCGCTTTCATACATCCCGCAAATGCTCCTATGTTGAGCATACCACTGCGCGCATATTATCTTTCTGACAAATACGGCCATATTGTTCAAGATTTCACTAAGTCACGTCTGCCATGGCCAGTAGCAAATCTACGTATTCTACATTTATGATACATCAGACAGCTGGAGAGAACTTTCCCGCCCCCGATGCAGATCCTGCCCCTCATTCCTTACTTGACCCCTGCAGTGTCTGTCCCACGCAAAGAATGACAGCTATTTAATCATAGGACGTTCCACCCGCTATGCACATTTCCCTGCTGCCAAACTATTTTTCTTCGCCACCCGTCTTTCCCCATGCTTTGGAAATTGATCAGAGCCTCCTCTCTTACCGGGAAGAGTCAATTCATCCGTGCCTATACGACACCACCACTGTGGAGAGCACTCGAGAAAGGAGAGGGTGCTTTTCTGGCGTAACAATGCGATGTACTGACATTATCACTGATTTCTTCAGCAGATGTTCCCATCGAAAAAGACGAGCTATACCAATACCAACGCTATCGCTGGCTGTCCGTTCTTCCTTCTCTTATGTACTGAAGTGCTTATTAACAGTTCCACAGCACCAAGGAAGCCGAGCAACTGGCCGCGCGGTATCGCAAGTTTCGGCTGCCAGCACTGATCAACGCTGCCATCGAAGTAGCCGGGGGTGATGCTTCCAAATGTAAAGCGATCTGCTACAATGGGCCTACGGTATGACTAATACTGCACGACAGGTACCAAGGTCCTCAAATGCATTGAAGGGCAATACAACAAGGCCTTGATCTTGTCGATGAACAATGGCCAGGAAGTGGTGGCCCGGCTACCCAATCCCAACGCCGGACCGAGATTCTACACCACCGCATCGGAGGTGGCAACGCGGCACTTTGTGGGTATCCAATCTCTGTGAACACATTAGTTGAAATTACTTGTTTATGTACTCAACAGCTCCGAGACCACCTCGCTATCCCCATCCCTCGAATCTACGCGTGGTCTGCAGATGAGACAAATCCAGTTGGGGCCGAGTACATTCTGGAGGAGAAAGTGGCTGGGCAACCGTTAGGGTTCCTGTGGAGCGATCTGCCCTTTTCGGCTCGTGCACACATCATCGACCAGGTTGTCGACATAGAGCGGAGGCTCTCATCTGTCACTTTCCCGCGGCATGGATGCATATACTTCCAGTCAGACCTAGAGTCACGACCAGAACATCCCAGTTCCGTTCCAATACAGGGTCCAGACGGTTAATCTCGGCCCGCATTTGCCCTCGGTCCGCTGACGCATCCACGGTACTGGCACAGCGAAGTGGGAAGAGTACAAATAAGCCTCCACAGGGGGCCGTGTAGGTTGCTCTTCTGTAACGCTTCGCCCTTTCAGCCTTCTGACACGAAAATATATAGTCAAGAACATGGCGGAGTATGCCAACGCCATCGCGCAGAACGAGATCCGATGGGCGCAGACGCACGCCAAACCAAGAATGAACGTCCGGCGATCAGAAGAGCAGCTAGAGACAGCAGGTGAGTACATCGCCCTGTTGGAGCGGTATATAACGCTTGTGCCCTATCTGGTCCGAGAGCCTCATAATCACGAATCCTCAAATCAGCTGTCGCATCCTGATCTACACCTGGACAATATCTTCGTGAACCCAGCAACCAACAATATCACAGCTGTGATCGACTGGCAGCATACGGCCGCTTCGCCAGTTGATCTACATCCGCTGATCCCGCAGATGCTGGAGCCAACGACAGCGGGAACAGGAGAAGGCAATGACTCACTGCGCCAGATCTACTTCACCAAACCCAAGAGTCTGAATCCCAGGCATGGATGGGAGGCACTTACCGAACCGCATCACAAACTCAGAATGAAACCTACCCTGCTGCTGCCAGGTTGCTGGCAGCGCGATGACCTGTTCTCTCTCCGTCACGCAATAATCGCAGTGGTCGCTCAGTGGGACGAGATATGCCAGAGCGGAATCAAATGTCCAGTTGATTTCACTACCCATGAGCTCCAACAACATGACGAAGAGATGGAGCTTATCGAGGGTGTTTCATTGGTCTTGCGCCAGATTCAAGAACAAGGGCTCCTCCCTCTGGGCGGCATGGTTCCGCGCGAGCGGTATGAAGACGCTCAGAGATTGAGCCAGCAGTTCACGAATCAGTTCATCGCATTGGGGGAGGATGCGAAACAGAGGGAGATACTCGCCAAGATCTGGCCATATTCGTGAAACACTGATTCCTGGGCCTGGGGTATGACAGGACTCTTCTTTGAATAAAGAAAAAAAAAAAAAGAAAAGAAAAAAAAATAACAACAACGCCCCATTTCAACCCGACTACCCCGGAAGTAGACAGAATGGGTCCCCTGCACACCTTCCACATAAACCCACCACAAACCCGAATCACTCATCAAATTGACCACCCCATCCCATCCACTAGACAATCGAAAGTCCTAAAACGGCCAAACAGCCCCCATCTCCTCCCCCTCCACCACCACCGGTCTCGCCTGCACCATCACGGAAGTCAACCTAGCCCATTCATCCGACGGATTCCCCCACTTGTGCATGGTCCCCCTCTGCACGACCGTATCGCCCGCCTGTAGCGTCACCGTGGACCCGTCATCCGTGCTCAGCGTGACCACGCCGCGGGTGACGGTGACATAATCGAGGGTGATGGAGCGATGCATTGGGCCCTCGTATCGCGGGGGCAGATCGTAGGTGCAGAAGACGGAGCCGCCGGTTGCTGCGGCGGTGGTGCTGGGTTCGATCTTGGTGGGATCTTGGTCGATCGTGGCGGGGATCTCGGTGGAGGACCAGAGGGGGTTGAGGTAGGTGCCGTCGTCGAGGGCGGTGGGTGCTTTTGGGGCGTTGATGGCGATGGTGGCGGTACGGGAGGGGGTGTGGGTTGTGATGATGCGGCGGGTGTTGGGTGGTGGTGAGGACATTTTTGAGGGCTTGATAGGGGTTGATTTGCTGTTGGTGATGGTGGATCCTAGGGGAGAGTAGTATGAGATTGGAGGATCTCTGGATAGTCAATTGTGCAGTGGCTGGCCTATATAGGAGTGGCAGCACACAGACTGCCTAGCCGTTCCTACCAGTCTTCACACCCCAGTAAGAGCGAGGTCCAGCCGACGCATAGTGGGTCGGTGATGATGACAGCTTAACGCCGACTGATGAGGACCCTGTTGCTAAGTCCATGGATATCTCCGTCTTGGCCTAGCTAATTAGTGGGGCGCGCACTAGAACTAGGGATTTTCGAGGTGGTTCCGGCTTGCCGAGAGTGGGGTCTCGGTTTCATTTCCCGGGCGCATGAGATCATGAGTTGACTGCCTGCCGGAGCTCACCTGTACAACCGAGAGTATATTTAAGAAGCGTGCCATCCGCTGCGGAGTAGATCATAGGTCTTTTCGGGAACTGAAGGAGCTTTCCGAATTTCAGACATAGCATTATGAGCAAAACCTGGTTAATCACCGGCGCATCGTCCGGGCTTGGAGCCGCGCTAGCTCACCATGTCCTCCGAGCAGGACACAAGGTCGTCGGTGCGGTGCGGAATGTATCCAAGGCGCAACAGACCTACCCTCATTTCGAGGAAATAGGAGGCGTGTGGGCAGAACTTGACGTGACGGATCCCAAGACAAAAGAGCATGTTGCGTGCCTCTCCCGCGAACATGGGGGATTTGACGTGGTGGTGAACAATGCCGGGTACTCCATCCTGGGCAGTATTGAAGATATGAAGTGAGTCTGCATCACTCGAACACTGCGTAAATGCTTGTATTTCTGGATGGGGTATGCTGACTTAGGGTACTACCTGCAGTGAGACCGAAATACACCAGCAAATCGACACCAACCTCTACGGCCCAATCCGCGTCATCCAGGGCTGCCTCCCCTCCATGCGCGAGCAGAGGACCGGGTGCATCGTCAACATCTCTAGCGTTGCGGGCCTGATCGGTCGTCCCGCTACCGCGTTATATTCCGCCAGCAAGTTTGGCCTCGAAGGTAAGCCACGGCCCCGAGGGATTTGGTGACCCTACTGACATCTTCCTCTCAGGTCTCTCCGAAAGTCTAGCCGCAGAGCTCGCCGAATTCGACATTCGGGTGCTCATCGTGCAGCCCGGCGGCTTTCGCACCGGGTTTCTCTCCGCTTACGTGAAACCGGCGGCGGGGCTAAACCCGGCGTATGAGGGCAAAGCGCTGGGCCAAGCAATGCAGCGTTACGATACTGTCGACGGGACGCAGCGGGGTGATCCGGAGAGGGCGGCGGCGCGGATTTTTGATGCTGTCGAGCAGCAGGGTCTCTGCGCTCAGACAGCTTTGTGTCTCCGCATGCCGCTGGGGTCGGATTGTTATACGGTGCTGCGGGCTAAGGTTGATGGGCTGAAAGAGAATATGGATAATATGGAAGTGATTGCGCATAGTACGGATTATACCCAGTGAGGCTGTGAAAGTGTCTTCTAAAGTAAAGGTTTCGACCCGTGGATAGTCGTTGCGGTAGATATAGTTCATGTTGTATAGTATCAGAAAGACTTTTATTAGATCGACGGTTGTAGCGTGATCCATTATGATAGAGATGGTAAAGTCGGGAGGTCAAAAGTTCACACACAGGGTATCATGCGGAAAAGCATTTATCTTTCTGGCGTGAACCTAAGCAAGAGTAGTATATGAGAGTTCGTCCGAAGAGAACAATTGATGTGTAGGCTCCGTGATGTTGTGAGACGGATTGTACTTGATGTAGAGGACTATAGCCTAGTTGTGCTACTTGAGTTTCGTCGCCTGTTGTGCTGTTGTGCTCAAGGAGAGCCCGTATATGCATTTTGTGCCATTTCTTAAGACAATGGTTTCTGGTTGGTTTATTCCCGCTGGCTGTACCAGTCCACGGTCTTGATATGAGGTTCTAGTTGCGGAGCCAAGCATCCACGCCTGTTTTTGATAGGCATTTCGCATTAGTAATCACTGCCCACCGATCCACATTTTGAAGACACTACATTCGGAGTTAAGGTCAGCATATTCCAGCCTCCCGCATCATAGTTCCACAGACATGCACGTACAGTACATACAAGTAACCCCACAACGCACCCTAAACCTTCGTCTCCTGCTTGTATATCAGAAAGCAAGTTATCACCTCTCTTAACTTAACCCTAACCCAAACAACAAGAATTAATACATGGCAGCCAGCATGTCCACCCACCAAGGCAAAGTCTACGCCATCACCGGCGCCGCCTCCGGCATCGGCCACGCCATCGCCATCCACCTCGCCCACCTCGGCGCCCGCCTCGCAGTGACCGACCTCTCCCAACCGGGTCTCGACACCCTCATCACTGAACTAGAGCCCCTCATCGGCAAGACGAACATCCTGGCCCGCAGCGCCGACATCTGCGACCGCTCCGCCGTTGAGTCGTGGCTTGCCGCCACCGTCACCCACTTCGGCCGCCTGGACGGCGCAATCAACACAGCGGGCGCTCACCCCCGGGAATCCGGCCAGCAACCCATCTGGAACGTGACGGACGAGGACTGGGAGTTTGCTCAGCGGGTCAACGTGCAGGGTACGCTGAATCTCGTCCGCGCGGCGCTGAAGTACATGGTAGATGCGGTCACTCGGCAGGAGATCTCCACAGGGTCTGTCGTGGTCTTCGGTAGTAATGCGTCGGTCACGGGGGCGCCGAACCTGTCGGCATACACTACAAGTAAGCATGCGGTGCTGGGGATTATGCGCTCCGCCGCGATGGATGCGGCACCGTATGGGGTGCGGGTTAATGCGGTTTGTCCGTGAGTTTCTCTCTTTGTTTTTACGGGTTTCTGCTTGTTTTTCTTTTCTCTTTTTCATCTCTTCTATTTTTCATTCCCGTCAAGTGCGAGGTTTGTAAGGCTCGATCGCTGACGATGATGGCAGGGGTCCGATTGATACACCTATGTTGCGGAATGCGGTTTCGGAGAGTCTGATGAAGACCCTGGTGAACGCGATCCCTATGAAAAAGGTGGGATCGACTAAGGAGGTGGTCGGACTTGTGACCTATCTGCTTGACGAGAACTCTGGGTTCACGACAGGTGGCGTGCACATGGTTGATGGGGGTATGACGGCGGCGTAGTCATTATGTGAGGAATACTAGAATACGAATTAAAAAGATTTTGAATGCGGATCTGCGAGGATACTTATCAAGCCTTATTGTGGCAGGCATCGCTAGAGAGAACAACCGCGGCTGCGTTTCTTTGGCTGTAGCTTGTGTTGAATGAGTGATATCCTAATGAGTATTCGGCCCCACCAGTGATGCCACTGGCAGTCATCCGCCGTCATGGTTGTACGGTAACCGGTGACTAGACCGGAGGAAAGGTGGCGCAGTCCAGATGAACAATAGAAGAGCACATGATCTTAACAGCGGGGATGAAGACAGTGAGATATTCTCAGACCATTTGCGCGAACGCCTTTGTCAGTAACACGGAAGGCTGGCTGAAATAGGCCAGAAACTGCTGCCGGACAATGTCCGTACAATATTGGCTATCCTAGCACCAGGGCCTGTGTTACCACATACCAACCAACTGTATATCTTGCTGCATTCCTCCTCCAAATGAGTGTAGTATGAGAGGGCGTATCTGCCATCCAACCTCCAACACTAAAATCAACACAACGAAGTTGGGAAACATTCAGCTCTCTTGCATTGCGCATATTTCTGTTTGAACCTGTTTTGCAGGTTTCTGTATTGTATGCTTTCATGGTCTCTGCTTTTCCGCAGTAGGTCTTTCACCCGCTGCAACCCTACAAAGGCAGGTAGGTACACTCAACATTTAACACGGTGGTGAATGGATTGGATTGTAGGAAGATGACATAACACCATTGAAAGGGGTAACACTACAGCGTTGTTTTTTCATCGGTCATGTGGTAAGCCTACGGTATATATACCGGCCATCGCTCCCAGTACTTGTCCTGAAAAGCCAAAAACCAATCTCCAATCTTCCTTGAATCAACATCAACCAAAGACTCTCCTAACTACCATTCCACAGACACAACGCCAACCATACGAACAACCATCACGATGAATCTATCCAGCCCTAAGCATCCTCGCTTTTGCGGCCAGCTACGCCTCCGCAGGGCCCGCGGCCTACGGGGTCTGTCAGGCCGGTTGCGCGGCCGTGGTGATGGCCTGCTACTCTGTGGCAGGTTTCACATGGGGAGCCTCACTCGGAGCCACGGTCCCAGCAACAATTCTTGCCCGCAATAGCGCCTTTGGAACCTGTCAGTCCGCTTGCGCGGCTGTGATCATGGCCCCAACCCTCTGAGCGTCTAAAACATGCAGATCGTCTACTCGAGCTGCCTTCTTTCTCGGTACGTCCACCTTTTTGTCTATCAGAGTAGGGAAAAGAACATGTGGTCTCTAACCGTCGGCATTGGGTAGGATCAGTCAAGCCCGCTCATAATCACCACCCAGATGAGAAAGACCTTCCGTGTCAGAGCGAAAGGGATGACCCGAATGCACTAATGAATCCAAACAAGCTTTACCAATAATGGATCTCTGTCCATTGAATATCTTCTGTAGTTGTACTAGACGGTATGACTTGTCGTTCTGGGATATCCTCAAGGACTAAAACGCCCCTGGTTGATCAAAGGACGTATCAATTGCTCTGCGGATGGCGACCTACCTAATCAAGGCAGGTAGAAGAACAGACTGCTGAATTGGCGGGCGTGTTTGGCGAATCCGGCGTCTTCGGCGTCTTTGACCTGGGCAATTCCACCCCACTAGTAAGTCACTCAACCTCAGGATGCTAAGAGGATGTAATCACCAAGTAGATGTACCTGTAATCCTCGCTCGCGGAAACATCATCGTCGACAACCGGATGGAAGAACAGTCACGTACCATCATCAATAATGCAACATGGCTACCAACCCCCCATTCAAACAGGACTACCTTCCAGAGCAGAAGGGCTTCGATAGTCTCGTGGTTCGAAGTGACCAAGGTGGGTGAAACTCAAGCTCGACTGAACAGGCTGTCTGACATGCCGTTACATTGCTGTCTTGAGTCTAGTCTCCAAGTACCCCGGGGATCGAACGAAGGAGCTCTGCAACCCAGAACTATGTACAATACAAACCATCATGAACTCAACCTACAAACAAGGCCCACATTGGATTACACAAACCCAGAAGCACTATTCTCTATAGTACATCAACACCTAACACAGCCAAGGAAATACCCCCAACCTAGCTACCTACTTAGTTTCTCAAAATCCCCCCAATAGTCTCCTTCAGCTCCTCCTCCCCCATGATCCTCAATCCCAACCGCTCATTCCAATTAAACTCCATAAAATCCCCACCCCGATACCCCTCCCCATACATCATCTGAAAATAGTAATTGATGATCACCGACTGATCCCCCTGCATCAACTTCTTGTCTGACTCCGCAATCAGCTCCTTCACCGAAACCTCCTCCGGTGCCCCAAACTCCGTCCCCAGCACCTCCGCAACCAGCCGCGTCAGCTGCCGCTCCGTCACCGCCGCCGAGCAGATATACACCGCCTGGTTGGCAGCAGCCTCGAACGTGCCGTCCTCCAGGAGCTTGACCACCGCGGATGCAATATCCGCGAGCAGCGAGACGGCGATCGGCTTGTCGCCGCCGTCGTGGAAGCTGGCTTTCTTGGTGATCGGGTTGGGCCCCAGCACCCCGTATTTCAGGGCCATGTCGAAGAAGGCACCATTGTTGATGGAGGTCCATGTTGTGGTTCCTGCGGGGGTGGGGAGGGTGGAGTTGAGGTATTGACGGATGAGAACCTTCTCTCTCGCGATGGGGAGATTGATGGCTAGTGGGGACTCCAGCATGGTGGTGAATTCCGAGGGGATGAAGCGTTTGATGCCGCCGGCGATACAGGCGTCGATGATGGTTTTTTCCGTGGCGAGTTGGGGGAAGGGGACGGCGCTGAGGGGTTTAGTTGGATTGTGGAGGGAACATGAGATTGACATTAACGAACCTGATAACGACATCCTGTCCGGTAAACGTGGCGATCAATTCAGCTTTGTTGTGGTAGTCGACCTTGACGGTTTTCAAGCCTTCGAGAGCCGCTTTGTTGGAATCTTGGCGCTGCAGCGCGGTCACTTCGTGGCCTGCGGCTGCCAGAGCGCTGGCGATGCGCGAGCCCAGGGTTCCGGTAGCCTGAAAGATATGGTTAGGGACAAGATGACGGTAGAGGGGATGGGTAATGTGTGGATAGCATACTCCGATAATAGCGACTTTTCTGAAGGTGGCCATTTTTGTAAGGTAAGGATTAGGTATAGAACAATGGGGTGATTGACGGTATTCAGATAAACTGGAGTCACTTTGTCTTGGAACAGAGACACGAACTAGGGCAGAGCGTCCTGACCATCTATATAGATAGCTGCGAAGTCTTTTCAGGGCTATACCGGCATGATGCCGATGGTCTAGCCTTCGATGAGGCAATTAATCCACATTCGGGGTAGATCTTAATCCCGACGCGGGCTTGAGATTACAGCCGAAGCGCTACTCCCAAGGCGGTGCTTGATAAGCATCTCGGACAGGCTTGATAAGGTCGGTGTTTCGGAGCGCATGCTTAGGAGTGGAAATTGATGAGTAGAAAACGATTCTGCTGATCGTTTTGTCGTGTGGGCCTTGCTTGGAAGGGCGTGTAGGCCGGTGTTGAGCTTAGAAAAGTTTCTTCGAATTTCACCCATGTCAATAGTGGAGTTTATAATGATAGTATATTTCGTATACTTGGTGGAATGTTTTGTAAACTGATAAATTCTCGTTTGAATTTTTATTTTAAATCAGCATCGCCTATAAGTGGTCTTGAGTCTACTTCATTTGTTATTATTGGTATACTTACTTCATCGTGCTCTTTTCTCTTCTTGTTTTTAGTTGGGAAAGAATAGATAAAAAATAGAATAGAAATGAGTTAATGCATGGTTTTTATTACTACTGGTATAAGGATTGTTTGAGCGACGGTTATCAATCATTGTTTCTTATCCACTGCTGCTCTCCTAGCATGGATTTGATTGGATTTTGATAGCATAGAATCCGTTTATTTTATCGTCTAGAATTTGATCCACCGCTACACACAAACAGTGTGTGACCAACAGGGTTGCCCATCCTCTCAGCCTCGGGTGTATGTGAGCGACAGGTGCGAGCCATATAGCGAGGCAGGATGGGATATCAGTCTTTTATAGTTGATGCATCAAGGGAGGATTTCACCAATGTATATTATTAAATCGGGCTATCGGGGTAGGCAGCTGTTGAACGCTGGATGGGCAAGAAACTGGCACTACATCTGCGAAGTAGGATGACACACAAATTCATTGACCATACCTTCTCTATTCATTCGTCACATCAACACCTATAGTGGCTGACCATGCACAGAAATCATCAAGTAACAAACGCTGGCTCCTGTCCCCAGAAAGAATAAGGCTTGAAGCTTATTTTGAATAGCGAAGGGATGAAGGGAGATGAGGGAGCAGGTCTATTTGGATCGTTTGCTACCTAAGTTGAATGCGGGTATGCCATGCGGGGAGGGGGGGGACGATTGGTATATGATAGGAGTGTTTCCAAGCCTCCTTACCGTCGAATCTATGATGTGAATTGATGCAGAAAACGAGCGGGTATGCTTGTAATAGTAGCGTCATCCTCTTTACTTCCACAAGTCTCGATGGCGGAGAAGCATCATCGGGTTCTGATGTTAGGGCTTTCACCCAAAACCCGGCAAGAAACGGTTTATGGTTTCTTTTAGGAGCATGATTTAATAATCTCACGAGTTGCAAGGCGACACAAAGGACAGTATGATCTGGCCAAGCCTATTACCGCAACGAGCCAATGTAACATTGGATGCATGGTTCGACTGTCGTGCGGACCGTGGTGCCAGTGCAACCAGACCCAAGATCAGTTGCACATTGAGTTTTGCAGCTGTATATCGCATTCGGACATCAGAAAACAGCGCAAACGCTCAGCCGTTCCGAGAATTTGTTAGCCTTGGGTGCTGGTGGCGTGGCTTCGCTACACCCGCAGTATTGTGACGTGCTGTAGAAATCCATGGATTGCATCGTAGTATGCATGGAGTGCGTCACGACCTACCCCAAAGCGTTGAGCAAAGCATCGAGATGGTCGAAATCAATCTGTAAGGAGGTATAAGTCTAGACACGATCCTGCTGTTTGTACTACTACAACAGTGTCAACCACGGCCTTTTCCAGGAATAAATCTCCACCGCGAAATTCTCTATTCCTTTTCCCATACTGGTCGTTCGCCCTGCTAAAATGAGTCTGTACAACGACGCATATGATGGGTCCCTCACCCGGCAGAAGCTGGAGGAGTACCTGGCCAAGGGGACCAATATCAACAACACCACGGGAAACGGAGAGACAGCGCTGGCATTGGCCATCAAGAACGGGCACACCAGCGCCGTCAGCCTTCTGCTGAAGTTCGGCGCCAATCCGTCCAAGCGCAACATCGACGGCCGGTCTCCCTTGTATCTCGTGGCCGCGGCGCCGAAGCAGAAGAGGGTACGGCTTGTCCAGCTGCTGATCGACGCCGGAGCCCTGATCGACGAGTCGGTGCCGAATTTCGGTGACGACACGCCGCTCATGGTGGCCATCTCGCAGGCTAAGGACCCCAAACTGATCCACGCGCTGGTGGAGGCCGGGGCCTCCCTGACCCAGACCAATGCCCGCGGGGAATCCGCCAAAACCCTGGCGCGCGACTCGATGGACCCCGCCATTCAGCGAGCGCTCGTGCCCCAAGGAGACCCGACAAGGACGTACAGACCGGAGTTGGGCAATCTCCTCACCAGTGCGGGTGTATTTGCCGCCGCGTATTTTGGCGACTGGAAGGATGTAGCCAAAGATGCGGTGGACCGGATTGCTCAGTATCTGACCAAGGACACCGAACTCAATAAGGTAAGCAAGCCTCTTCTTGGCGGATTCCAATGAGATGCCTTGTAGAGCTAATTGAGTACGTTCAGGGTGCCCCTGATCTGCACACGGTGGAAGACTTCAAGAACTTCCTGTTGGACTACATTGATCGTCAAGGCTTGGAGGACTTTTACCCGGCGAATGACCCTCGCATTCAAGCCATTGCGGAGGCCACAGTGGCGTTTCGAAAGAAGCCTGAGGCGAAAGCTCTCTCCGTTGCACCGACGGGGCTATCGATCCAGTCACGAAGTCTCTTTGTCCAGACCAGTGGTCTGGGCGTGCAGACCACCGCTCCGACCATCCAGAACCTTCTGACCTTGGCGGTGGCGCAGCTGTACACACCTGTCCTGTATATTGACGATAGTGGATCGATGGATTGGGCGCTAGCAGGGCAAAACGCGAGTGGCACGAAACGGATCGAGGCAGCCAGGGTCCTTGTCTCGGAGCTGATGGACATCCTCGACTGGGTGAACCCTGAGGCCCAAGCCGGGCGTGGAACCACGAGTATCCGCTTCATAAACAAGGACGTCGGCGGCGCCGACAAGCTGACCTCGACTCAGGTCAAGGAGCAGATGAACCAGCTCAGTCCGAATGGGGGCACGCCTTTGGGGACCAATCTCCGGACCAAAATCCTGAACCCTTTGCTGTACGACGTGATCAACAGCAACAAAGACCTCAGCGCCCCATATCTCATCCTGACTATCGGAGATGGAGCTCCCAATTCCCCTGATACTAACGATACCTTCCGCAACGAGGTCGCCAGCGCCGCCAACTTTCTGCAAACACACAAGTACTCGCCTCCAGGTCCGTGGCCCTGTTTCCATTGAACCGCGAGAAGTGGCAGCTGCTAATTCTTACCCTGCGGGACAGCGGTCAAGTTTACCTTCAGCCAGATCGGCAGTGATGCGGCGGCCGAGGCATTCCGGAATGGGCTGGTCAACAACCCTTTGCCTAATAACACCCTCTATGTTTCGTCAGGTAAGTGCGAAGCAAGAATGGAAGGATAGAGAAAGAACTCTTCCCGCTAACCGCTGGCTCTCATCTAGACCGTTTCGATCAAGACTATGACGCGAACAAAGGCAACCCCGATAGACTCAAAGCGAATGTAAGCCTGACGCGGTGTTACACTAACTTACTTCAATTGCGCCACCAACTGATTTCGTGTCTTTTCTTCTAGCTGATCAACTGGTTTTCCGGTCTTGTCGATCTCAAATGAGTGGGGTTGACACTCTCCCCTCTGGACAACAGGCGGTGCCGTATTTTGGGCCCCCCCTCAAACGTAGGCTGAGCTGTAGTTTTTACCACTAGACTAGCTACTAGTGGGTTCCAAGGATAATCCAATTCAATTATATAATCATCGTCGTCATCGCGATTTTTTTCACACGCTAGAAAGTTGAATTGGTCATCGAAGAACCGTGTTCCCAGTGTGGATGGGCACCGCAAGGATGAGGCTCTTGACCCTCAAGTATGTACTGTACCCAGGTAGTCAATCGTACTACGCCTTAGTTCATCACGCAAAACCAACCAGTTGCATGCATAGAATTGATATGAGTGGATTATACTACATTACTGTCGAGTATAGCTCGAGATCAGGCTACCACCTCGGTCTCGTCATCTTGCATGATTATACAAGTGCAGCCTCCGGAGCACTTCCCAAGGAGCTTTGTTTAAACATGGAATTTCATTGGACTAAAACATTAACGTCTTCGAATTGAGCGGTAGACCTCGACGAATATGAATAATCACCGAGGAATCCCCGCTGGCTACCCGGTGCGAACTCCTAGTGTACTGCACTTCGATATCACCGTTGTTACGGCGAAGCTTAGGGCTTCGCGTAGAAAACCATCGGCCGCATGTCGAACAGTACAGCGAGGGAATTTCCTCCCGGTGACACAGCAATGGCTTGGGCCTTCTTGTCTGTATCCGTGGTCTGCGCATAGTCTCCAATCAAGGACCAGACGCGAACCGTTCGGTCCTCGGAGGCAGAGAGCAGTGCGTTCCCGTCGGCGGAGAATGCCACGTCCACCACCGCAGAGGCGTGCGCTCGAAGGTCCCGACGCTGGGTGCGGGTCGCAGCGTCTAGGATCTTGATACTGGAGTCTTGCAAGCCGCAGGCAAGGTGGACCCCGCTGGGGGAGAAGGCCACGCTGCGAACCTCGACGTTCAGAGGGTGTGTCTGGGTCACTTTGCCCCCGGCCCAGAACTTGATGGTCTTATCGGAAGACGCGGTCACCAAAGTTCCGTCCTTGGAGGAGAAGGTCAGACCATTGACCGCAGCGGAGTGCTTGTCTTGTGCTGAGAGGGGCAGTCGAGTACGAGTAGCCACATCCCACAGAAGGACACGGCCGTCTTCCAGGCCAGCGACAGCCGTCTTTCCATCGGGCGAGAATGCGACCTTCATCCCCCTGGACTCCTTCTTCTCGTCCAGCAGCGTGTAGATACTGGGAGTGGTGCTCGGTGGTCCGACGGTGTAGATCTTGACGACCCCATAGTAACATGCCACCAGAACCGACTGGCCGCTCGGGTGCCAGGCAATGCTCGTCGCGACACCGTCGCTCGATTGCATCGTGGTCAACCGCCTGGTCTGGGCCGTCGTCACATCGTGGATGTCGATATTCCGGGCGAAGTCGACGGTCACCAGCTGATTGGGGTCACTGGGCGAGTATGCGAGCGCAGTGGCTGCAAGTCTCTTGTTGGTCATCGCCTCGTTCTTCGGCCATGCGCCGTTGCCAAGATGACTCTGACCCTCCCGGCGGCACTGTTGCAGTTGGTCCTGGGCCTCCTTCTTCTGATCGTCCAGCTTCTTGTCGCATTCAGTTCGCAAGGTGTCCTTGTCTTGGTCACACTTGGTCTTCTCGTCAGACTTCTCTTGATCGCACCGCTGCTGCGAGGACTGCTTCTGATCTTCGAGTTTCTTGGCGCATTCCGTCTCCAAGGTGGCTTTATCTTGGTCGCATTTGGCCTTGTCCGCGGCCTTCTCCTGCTCGCACTGCTGCTGGCAGGACTTCTTCTGCTCTTCAAGCTTCCTACTGCACTCCGTCTCCAAATTACTCTTGTCTTGGTCGCACTTGGTCTTGTCTGCGACCTTCTCCTGATCGCATTTCGTCTGCTTCGCGGCTAGGTCCTGCTGGCACTTCTGCTCGACCTCCTTCACGCGGATGGTACAATCCTCCTGCTCCAACTCCTCCTTGTAGCGCATGAGGAGGAACCCCGGGGCCTCGGTCAGCGGCGGGTCGCCGGCCTTGGTGTACCAGCATTCCCTCCGCACGGGATCCCACGACGCCACCAGCGCGCGATCGCCGCGGAGCACCAGGCCGACACAGTTCACGGCCGAGTTCATCTTGAGTCTGGAGATGGGGCCGCTGGACGCGGGCCGCTGGCCACAGGAGATCTCGATGAGGTTGAAGTTGACCGTCTCATTGCGCGGCAGGGTCCCACTGCAGCAGTCGCTGAGGTCCGCGACATTCTCGTCGGCCAGAGCCTTGCAGCTGTCCGCCGCGACGGCATCAATCCAGGCCAGTGGACTGACACACAGGGCTGAGAAGAGGAAAGCATTGAAGTGCATGGTGACTAGAAACGCGGAAAAAAGACGTGGATTGATTGACCTGAAGCCGGGGGGCACGCAGGTGAAGGACGTGTTAGATCTGAGAGGGTCTATTCCCACTCCTTCCTCTTGCTGTCTTTACAAAAACCAGAGACATCTCATAAAAATAGTCCCATCGGAGTATATTCTGCTTGAGAATGCATTCGGAACGGCAGGTAGGTTCTAGACTAGACTTCAGCGCGTCATAGATCGTATTCTGGAGAGGGTTTTAGAGGTGCCATCTGCAAGCGTACAAGGTCTGGCCTTGGCTTTGGAAGTGAGCCCCCACCCCACTATTGCAACCCAATTGCTACTCTGCTTGAACCGATTAACATGACTTTCAGATCATTGATGTCAACCTGGATCATACCCTTCTATGGTTCAATCATGGGAGGAGAGGTGCATGGACTCAATGAGCTCCGGGTTTGTAGCGGTCCCAGCATCGGTCCAGGACACTACATTTTTCATCACGCCCACACTGTATGACCTGGGGAATGTTCGTTCGCAGTCGTGGTGCTTAGCTAGTATCGCCTCTCTAGCTGGACTATGTCTATTGATGCACGTATTTACGACCGGGGTTGGGAAGTTGTACAGGACTCTGGTGCTCTGCGTACTAGCCCGTGTAATAAAGATGTAGGGATTTGATGCTACGAGCAGGACTCCTCTGCATTATAGTGGTCTTACAAGAAGACTTTCTTCAAAAGGACAAAATTCTCAATTTGTAGTAATCACATAGAAGATGATTTGAACAACTACTGCTAGCCGTTCCCAAGCACCTTCCCAGCAGCTCCGTCCACTCCACACCAGTACATTTCCTAAGCACCCCACGTCAACACCCTCTCTTCCTCTGGAGGATAGAATGAGTCATTCCCGGCGTGTCATGCGGCCGAGGACCATCGCCAGAGAGAGCATGCGCATGCATGCATGCCAACATTTATTTCTTGCCGAGCGGGCCGGCCCGATCACACTTGACGTAGCAAATGGGCCCACCTTCCGGGGGATACTCGATCGGAATGCAGTCATCGACGCCGTCAAAGATGTAGCCGATCTCACAGGGCTTCACGGGAAGGCACTGGAGCTTTTTTTTGTCCCAATAGGTTCCGACCTTGCAGTCGTTGTTCACGCAGACGCGGCCCACGCGGTGCTGGGTCGGCAGGCAGTCGGGCAGCTTCTCGCACTCTTTGCCGTTCCAGAAGGTGTTCTGGTCGGCGCAGGGGGCGCAGCCCTTGTCTGGGCCCTGGTAGTAGTACTCCGGGTACAGACAGCCCGGGCGCGGCTGGCAGCCCGTGGGGCTCGGATACTCGTCCGGGCGACAGGTCTCACAGCGGTTCTCGAAGGGCAGGTAGACCTGGTTCACGTCGGGATCGCAGAAGGCCTTCTCCTCGCACTTGTCGAGGTGGGCAAGGTACACCTGCCCGTGCTGGCATTGGGTCGGGACACAGTCCAGCTTGAGCGGATCCCAGTACCGATCGTCCGGGCAGTACGGGTTGGGCGCGCAGTCGCGGCCGTTGTAGTACCCCCACGGCTTGCAGCGGTCGGTGTGGTCGCAGGCGTTCAGCGACCAGAAGAACACCTGCCCGTCCGGGCACGAGGGCTTCTCGCATTTCTGCGCGCGCGGGTTGTAGTAGAGGTCGGGCGGGACGCAGGCCACGCAGTCCACCCCGTTGTGCTGGTATCCAGACGGGCAGCAGTGCGGCTGGCTGTTCGGGTCCAGGACCACGACTGGCGTCGGACATTTGCCGGCGCTCTCCGCGTTGGCCGCGGTGAGCGCAGCGCTCAGAATGAGGGAGATATAAGACAAATGCATCATGATGGTCACCGGTGTCGGATGGAATAGATGCAAGGGCGCAACAGTGTGGGAGAGATGGAATGTCGCAATTTTCAGCCGGCCTGGTGCTGTTGAGCCCAGCTACTTATTTCTCTCGTCTGGTTCTCTTTGAATATTGGTCAGAAACCGTTGAAGGCCTTGACTTGCCCCCTTCCGAATGCAACCTCCCCAGTGGACAAAATGAATGACGGCGTGAGTCGAAAGACTCCAGTAGAGGTAATTTCCTTTGTATGCATGTTTTCTACTATGGCAGTATTGAGTATTCTGGGTCCCAAACCCTTTCACCATCCTTCATTTAGGCTTTGACTTTCTTAGAGAAAACACGGAACCACCCTTTGATGACACTTCCGTGACATTCCCGTAAGCTATACTCGGGGAGTAAATCTAGGTTGCCAAGCTTTCCGGCTGCGGCGGCGATTGCGGGCCCGATCAGTTCGGGTTCCGTATCCGGGGTTGACTTAGGGTTCCCACTTGACCCTTCGCAACCTGACACCTGCCAGTATCGTTTGACTTTGGAATTGAGTTCCGAATCAGAGTTTTCATACTTTTCTTTGTCTCGAGGGTCCATCGCAGATCCCCGGCCCCGATCTGGAGCTGTCAGTTCCGGTAAACTCCACTTGGCGTACATTGATAGACTGATGATGCTGATGAATGCGGCGACAGCCAGTGCGAGCCCCAATGTCTTAGGTTGCATCCTAGAAATGGATCTGGGTCGAGGCATCCCCGCTAGAGCTAGTCATCGAGAGGTTTCGTTTTGAGCGTAACTTTGACTGAGATCAAGTTGCGCAGGTCTTGGGTACATCACAAACCCAGACTAAGCTAGCGAATGGTCGGCGTGAAGTCAGCGACAAATACTAAAATCTGCAGAATACGGGAGTGTTGCCTGCTGACATTAACACCAGATTCAGGAGACGGGTCGTAGCTCGGTAAGGTTATCCCCCCGGGTTTACGTTGCATGCAGTACAGTACGCAAACGGAGCGAGAAGCGTCGCAAAGTATCCACTTACCCCAGCCACACGACCATCACAGCCCTTATACTAGGTGATAACTACCGTACCACTACCTCGTCCCTAACCTCTCAAGATGGTAATCTTCGTCCGAAATGAGTGTCCGGAATGACAGGCGTGAAAAGTCCTTTGTCTCCTCCCTCGACTTTCATGCCAATCCCGAGCTTTACGACGCACATGTAAAATACAGAGAAATAGCTCTTTTCTGCTACAGACTACTAAAGATATCATGACTAGCACGGATGAACATATCTCACCCGTCGCAATAGTGGAATTCACACAGACACAAACACAACAGCGTAACTTTCGCAAGAACAGACTTCCATCTCCCTTTCCAGCACTGTAGACTGGGTTCCAGTGATTTGCATAGGCTCACACATTGTCTTCACGCACGAAGATGCCGTCGATAGAAGTGTCCTGGGGAGGCAGGATCGGCCAACTCCTCCCCCCAGCATCATCCTGCAACGTCACACAGATCTTGCCCCGGCTATCGTTCAGCTCGTGGATGTTGCCGTACCAGGACGGATTCAGCCGATAGATCTGACAGATGAGCTCCCTCACATTGTAGCCCTCCCGGGCGCTGAAAGTCCACCAGGCGAGGTTCACCGGTTCCACCTCGGTGATATTGGCGTCGGACCGCTTGGCATATTTCTGCAGGCCTTTAAAGAACGTGATCATGTCGGAGCGAGTGGCCGCCACCACCAGCCATCGGTGCCAATCGCCCGCGCCGTTATCCTTGTGGAGCTGGATCAAATGGGAATAGTATGGCTTCTGCTGGCTGGTATCCGAAGTAGTATATCCATCCATGATGACAGATCCGTGGCCGGAAGGTGCGCGTGACTTGCACGAAGGAAGGAAATCCGGAAATCAAGGAGGGGGTTCTTTTTCAAGCTAGTGGCAGAAGTGGTTATGAATGGCGGAGGCGCGCTGGCTTATCGGCGAAAAACCCTTTCCTTTATATTCTACCAGGAGTCTATGGTGATGTCGTGGAGTCCTCTTTGAGCGCTCTCAGACTGAAGTCGTCACCTTTGCAACGTTTTCGGCTTCTGGCAGCCGTCAGGACGTAAGCATCCGTTAATCAGTACAGTACCATTCCTCGAGACATCGGCCCAGAAGTCATGACGTTCATGACCATGCTCGTCTTGCTGTGTGGGCCTTGCTTGAATCGGCGTGTAGACCGGGCGTGGACAACAGGACGTCCCGTCTGCACAGTCGGCAGCTCTAATCGAGCCAAGAGATTAATTCCAGAGTAGCACACGCAGTCTAGCGGATTGGCGGCGGATTTCTCCCCAAATCTTGATTAACGGTTGGCTGAAATTGATTGACATTGTTGCGGGGCTGGATGATTGGTCCTACGGTACAAGGCTTAGATTGTTTCCTTTCCAAATTACAACTGTCGCTGCTTAGATATAGCTTATGTTAGGATTTCCATGGCCTTCGTAAAACCATGGACTCCTCACTAGGGGTGGGGGCGTCATCTGTAGTAGGCCTGTGGTAGGTAGTGAGGTGGCTGATCGCTAGATAAAGGGTACTACTACAACATTTACGAACATGATTATCACGAGCATTCAACATGAAAGAAACTGATACCCAACCGCAATCCCCGGACCAGAACATCGCCATTCAAGCGCTACTAGCATGCATAGCGGGGGGCAGTGTGTACATGCTCGGTCAATAGACGCTGCTTGCGGCGTTGATTTGCAGACAGGTCATCCGATCTTTTGCGTTTTCGATCAATTTCTGCTCGGCTGAAAGAAAAAAAGCATGACTCGCGCTGCCTCTTTGTTCCATAGAAAATTGGACATGTGCAAGTCGAGATGCAAAACACCAGCTTCGCGGACCTCAGCTTCTGTCTCATTAATGTAGTGCTGTAATCGTGGGCGATCTGACTCTTCGAGTGCGCGGCCGCCCCACGCCATGAGTGAGATGTGAATAATCTCTCGTCCGGAGTCGGTATAATAGGTACCTTGCAAGTTGATATCGCCCAGGTAGATGGGGACAGCAAATCCTTGTAGGGATTCAAGTTTTCTGTAGATGATACCTTCACGATCTGAGTGGTGGTCGATACCTTTCCCAATCATGGCATAACCATGTGATTGTGATTGGATGGCAAAGATAGAGCCGTGTACGCCTTCTTTTCCGATAGGAGTGCAGGAGTCCAAATCCGCATTTAGTTGCTGTTCAACAAGCTTGATCAGAGTATCACGGGATATAGTGTGTCGCCGGTCATCTGATTTTCTCCGGTGAAGATCTACATTGGGGCATTTATCATCAAGTTCCGACTGACGTACAAGTCCCCGCAGGCATAACTGTGTGCAGAAATTATACTTTGATGTCTGACCGGGCACTCGATGGCTTGGCTGTGAAGCGTTCGATGTCCGCTGGCGTTTACCACGGTCCTGAGTCGGAGAGGATAGGGGGTGTTTCTGGCCTGAATCCGATTCACCTGAAGAATCTCGTGATGGGCTCCTATAGGGCTGTACGGGACGAGGATTACCTCGAACAAGTCGGCGTAAGAGATGTGGTGACCGATTGTTGATGGGATAAATTGGCTCCCGGTATTCTGAGCCTGGGGGACTTGTCTTGCGTTCTGAATCTGGAATCAAACGAAGTGCACGTTCAAAGTCGATTTCCCATCTGCTTGATGCGGCGATGGTTTTATTCCGCCATGCTTGGCTTCGTTGTGGTGATCGAATTGCCATGAGAGTCAAGCTTAACTGGTAGCCAATAGCCGTATAAGGGAAACGGAAATTACAGCCATCAGTGGACTTCGCTTCAGCATCCCGGCTCGGTTCAAGGAGGTCATATTCTAGTACATCGGGATTGTCCTCGGGGATCCGAAGGATAACTTTCATATGACCGTTTGTTAGTAGGCCATATTCGAGGCCTGCCTTCATCATATACTCATAGGTTTGTGTAACGGCGGCACATGACAAGAAAGCAGCGTCGTAACAAAGTTTCTCATCAGGGTCTGTTGGTATGGTAACCCGCTGGACAACTTCCTCCACTATGTTCATCGGTCGAAGGCCAGCTCGGAGGAAGGCATCAGTAAGCTTGTGCGCAGCTTTATATTCAATAATATAAGTCAAGCTCCGCGTATCGCCGGATTTCTGATACACACCGTGTCGATCCGCTGGAGGTCGCGCGGGAGCCATCTGATCTGGATTCTCTGTGACCGTGTTGGAATGGTTCTCGAATATGATCTCTTCACCAAGGTGAAATGGACGTAGGTCTTCAGGAAGCCGAAGCAGCTTTTCAAAGTTTTCTACAACATGATTCTCAACTTCTGCCTTTTGGTATTGCGCCAGGTCTGCTTTACTTGCTAATGGATATCTGCATGCATGGTTCCCTATGTATTGAATAATAGGCCTCGAAGGAAACAGTCGTAAATCAGATGGAGAATGAAAGCTTTTGTAAAGCTCGTCGAAGACATCTTGTTGTGCTTTGCGATAATCAAACGGTCGAAGGAAGGTCGGGCATATACGACCGGTTGGATCGGTGATTGAAACCTTTGGTAGTGAGCGATCGGTTGGTTTGGATGGTCATGGGCATCGTAATGGAGTCATGGCAAGCGCGGAGGTATTCTGCAAACGTAGTGTTCTGATTCTGCTTTTTCACCTTTTTCGCGCGCTCTTTCTCCTTTGTTGCAGCCTCCCTTGCCTGTTGCAGTAGGGCACGAAGCTCGTCTTTGCTCGGTGACGTGTCAGTCTCCATCGCGGTTTTTGGTGCTGCTCTGAAGGAATGGCTAGCCCGAGATGGCCCTCCTTAGAGGAGATTCGAGGCCGATAAGAGCAATGGTGAGAATGATGGAATGACGATCAACTGTCAGTCAGATGCGATTCTCAAGTTAGTCGTACGAAGAAGCAAGCTTCTGGTCTTTATAGAGACGGAAATAGGAAGATTGCTGTAACGGTAGAGACTCATTATCTAAAGGATATACGATGGTGTGTACGGTTATTTCGACGGCCTTGTGTGTTTGAGCGGCTATCCTTTGACCCCGCAAAATAGCTAGAGCAGTCGAGCTATGAACAGGAACAGGAACAGGAACAGGAAATGCCGGAGTCAACTTACTCGGAGTACTAGTTAATCTGAGCGTGCTCTGACTAAGCATCATGTGACATTAACTACTTGACCCACCCTCTGTTGTTGGTTACTTCCCATAACTGATAACTTGCAACGCACGAAAAGAGAGAACAACAATAAGTACTATTCACGACGCTCCACTATCTCGGACTCAAAATGGGTTGATCTTCAGAAGAAAACCTGAGAAGAGTCATAAGTAGACATCAAGGTCATGTTCATTTATTTATCAGGTGACTCACAAGGGCTACCTAGCTAAAGGCTCGGTTTGATCCCTGTATACGCATACTTCTCATACTTCTCACAACCAAACTCTTACACAATCCGCTCCACCTATCATGGAGGAAACCCCTCCGTCCCAACAAAGCAGACTTCAACCGAGTTCTCCGCGAAAGCTATCAGCAATGGTCCTCCTATATCAGGCCCCCCAAATTTCCCCTCCCTCCTCCCGCAGGAATGTCTCAATTGGAAGGGCCTTCTGCAGCGAACGCCTTCCTTCCTCGGATGCGGCCTTTTTCCTGAAGATATTCCGATTCCTCTTAATCTACTAGGAAAGGAATCTAGCGAAGGCCGGTACGCTCTAGTCTCGAGCTGCCGCTCAATCTGGCGGACCTCCACAAACCCCAAACAATGCTCCCTGCCCCCAAAAGCCATGTCCACCCAGCTTGTAGTAGGCGTGCAGAGCTCACTCCCCGTGCATCTGTCCGACTCTGCACCTTTGACACAGTGGCCGGGCATGCACGGTGCTCCGGGCCAGGACGAAGGCAACTACCTTGCCGTCCTATTCCTAGCCTGGGCGTATATCCTGTCTGCGCGGTGGGCGGAGATCATGGAGGGGGTGTCCGGGTGTACAGTTCCATCTTCTCCTGCCGACGAGAATCAATCGGATGGCCAACCCGGCGATCACTATACCGCTGCAATCGAGCTTGGCTACGAAACCGACGCCGACGAAACAAACTGGCGGAGATCCATCCTCTCCGGAACCAGTGATTCCAGCCCAAGAACAGCAGAGTACAACCACCGGCCCTCCCTCTCCCCCTGGTCCGTCAGCCTCGGTCAACCATCCCGCATCGCTGTTACAGACCACCAACTGCCCATACCCAAACACAACAATCCACCACCATCATCCCACACAGCCCTAGAATACCTCACCCGCTTCAGCACCCACCACCGCTTCCACGCCCAAACCTCAGCAGCCCTAGCAGCAGCCCTAGCAGCAGCCCTCTATATCCCTTTCCTCCAGGGCAAGGGGAAATCAATCACCCTCCCAATCCCTCACCAAGCCCTTCTCCTTTCCCCACTACTCACTGCCCACCCCCACACAAACGCAACTCAGTGCAAGTCTCAACCCATCGCAAGTCACGCCCTCCTACCATATTACATGACCCTCAGCACAAACCCATGGGGCATCCGCTCCCTCCTGCACAGCAGATTCTCCGACGCCGATATAGAATGCAATCTCGTCAGCGCGTGGCTCCACCCCGCCTTCGCGGTCATGCACCCACCAATCCACGCCAACGACCTACCTGCTCTGTTGAGCGTCCTCGCGCATCGAGCGCCCAGACTCGGTGGCTTATGGCTCGGTGCATTTATTGAAGACGTTGCTGGATCCATTCTCCGGGATGTGCGGGATGGGATGGCGGCGCTTGATTTGATTGCTGGTGCGTGGACTGGAGTGAATGTGTCGTTTCTTATGGCAGGGACAGGGGTGAGCGACGGGGGTGCCGTTCGGCGGGAGGATGAGTGTCGGTTGCTCTTTTTGACAAGTTGCGAGGGAGGGGATGGGGGGTGGAGTAGGGCGCCGGTGTACCCGTGGAGACCTTTGGGATCAACGATGCTGGGTGATGCTGAGATGCAGGTACGGATGCATGCTTCCTGTGGGTGTCATTGTTTGGAGTATTGGGGGTGGAGGTGGGGGCTTGTCGATGGTGGGAGCTTGAGGATGCTGGTGTAGGGCTTGTTGGGGATTGTAGGATTGAGCCAGGGGGGGTGTGATGTACTAGAGCAGCGTCGATTCGTGCTGCTTGATCCTGAGGCACTGTGGTCAGAGGCGCTGTCGGAGGTGGCTACGCGTGGGATCTTCGGCTGGCTGCGCTCGAGGGGCTATCCGGCGAGTGAGAGGGCCATTTATCAGCACGAGTGGCTGGCTTTGGCCAGTTCGGACGATGAGCATGAGCATTAGTAGGAGGTGGGTGATGTCGAATCTGGTGCTTCTGAGGGGACAATAGGCTCCCAAGGAGGCATCCATGAATGGTTGGGCGATTGTGTATAGACCATAGCACATTAAGACTAGCGAGTGCAAGGGCTGTAGAACTGGGAACTAATGCTGCAGGTTGTAGCGCTGGTAGAGTACAAGCACACCACATCAAGCAAACACCGGCGAAACCTTCCCCGTCGCCCGATCAGCCAACCGCTCCGCCATCAGCATCCCATACACCTGCCGCGCCCACGCGCAGCACACCTTCCGCGTATCCTTGGGATCGATGATCTCCTCCACCCCAAACGCATTGGCCGTGCGCACCGGATTCATCAGCCGGCGGTACTCCTCTTCCAACTTTCGGTAATGCGCCGCTTTCTCGCCGCGCTGGTCCGCCTCGCGCAGTTCCTGGCGATGCGCGACCTCGATGCCCCCTTCCAGCGGTAAGGACCCCCACTGCCCAGAGGGCCACGCCACCTGCATGACGGGATCGCGGGCCCCGAGCATCAGACCCCCGGCCACCCCGTAGGCGCGGCGGACGATGACGTTGAATAGCGGTGTCGTGGTGGTGAAGTAGGTCTTGCCCAGCTCCACGCCCCAGCGCATTGTGGCGGTGCGTTCGGCAACGGTGCCGATGGCGTAGCCGGCTTTTGTCCATGGAAATGTATTAGCAAAGACCAAAGCCAACTTCGCAAAAACCAAGGTCTGTCGATGCACGAGGGTAACTCACGAACATCGATGAACTGCAAAACCGGCAGATTCATCACATCGCACAACTTCAGCAGACGGGTCAGCTTCTGACTCCCCGCCGCGTCCAGAGCACCCCCGTTCACCTCGCAATTCAGCGAGATCACCCCCACGGGACGCCCGTCTAGCCTCGCCAGCCCCCCGATCGCCGTGCGGCCCCACAGGGGCCCGATCTCAAACCACGACCCGCGGTCGACCACACTACGTATAATCGTCCAGGGGTTGTACATCCTGGTCTGGCGGCGGGGGATGATCCGGCGCAGCGCCTCGTCTTCCCGATCAGCCGGGTCCTCGGAGTCGATCACGGGTGGCGCCTCGCGGCCCGAGTTGGGCAGGTAGCTCAGCACCGTGCGCAGCTGCTCGTAGCATTCGGCTTCGTTGGCGGCGACGTTGTCGATGGTTCCGTTGGTGCAATGCACGGTGGGGCCGCCCAGCGTCTGGAAATCCAGGCCCTCTTCGAAGGTGGCGCCTTTGACTACTTCCGGCCCGGCGTTGAACAGCGAGCCTACGTCTGCGGCCATGACGGAGAAATGGCACGATACGACACGCGCGGCTCCAAGGCCAATCTGCGAGGAGATTAGGGTCGTTTAGTTCAACTTGCGGTCACTTTCCGGAGAGTGGCTTACGGCTGGACCGACAACCGCCCCAAGGTTCGGGATCCCCTGGTTCAACTGCTCCACGACGTATTTGTACATCGACACATAGGGCAGATAGCTGTACCCTGCGGACCGAATGAGCGTGACACTGCCGCCCCCGGAGCTCCCATCGACCAGCTTGACTATCGGTAGCTTCAACGCAAGCGCGAGCTTCTCGATGTAAATGGTCTTCTCGTGCGAGGCACCATCCGCATGTCCGCTGCGGAGGGTGAAGTCGTCGGCCGTGAGCAGCACACGGCGGCCGCGCAACCGCCCTAAGCCTTGGACATTGTTACTGGGTACGAATGCCACGGGCTTCTCGCGCATGGGGCCGGTTTGCTTCCACGTCACGGTGCCGGACAGAGAGCCTATCTCCTGGAAGCTGCCCGGATCGAGCAGAGCGTCCAGTCGCTCGCGCACCCATAATTTGCCGGCCTGCTTCTGGCGGATGTAGCCTCGTCGTGAGGCATCGGGCGTGGCAGCGATACTGCGGAGGGTGTTAACCTGAGCGAGCACATCCGAGTAGTCGGCCGGTAAATGCGACGCGACCTGGCGCAAACGCTTTGAAGCAGTCGCTGAGGATGGTTGGGTGTCCCTCGTGTCGCTATCGTTACTGTCGTCCGGCATTTTGATGGATTGATCAGGAAGGGTTCTAAATTTGTGGCTGGTATATCGCTGCGGAGATGATCACCCGCCAGCTGTGAGGGGTAAAGATTAAGTCAGCCCTCAGCCCCGAGGTCCGAGGATGAACCGCATCACCATAAACAACCACTAAGCCAGACCAACTGCAGAAGCACAATTGATCATCCAAAATGTCACGACCCCGACCCTTCACACGGCTGCTTGTTGCCAATAGGTATGGCTTCATCTCAACTCAGAAAATCAGGTTACTGAACCGAACAGGGGCGAGATCGCGGTGCGCATCATCCACGCAGCCCGTGAGCTGTCACCGCCAATCCAAGTGCTCGCTCTTTACACAGAACAGGATCGCTCTCACTGCGACCTGGGTCATCCCAATCAGGAGATACGGGTGGAATCGCCCGCAGCATACCTGGACATTCCGCTGCTGATCCGTCTTGCAAAAGAGAATGCCGTCGAAGCCGTGCACCCAGGCTACGGGTTCCTGAGCGAGAGCGCTGACTTCGCCCGCCGCATGCACGATGTCGGAGTCACGGTTGTCGGCCCAGGCTGGGAGACGCTGGCGAGGACCAGCGACAAGCTCCAAGCAAAGCAACTTGCTGTCGAGTGCGGTGTGCCTGTCTTGCCAGCCACGCCGACCCCAACAGCTGACATCGCCCTGATCCGGAATTGGACACGAGAGGTCCAATACCCTGTGATGATCAAAGCAGTCGACGGCGGTGGGGGGCGAGGGATCCGTCTGGTCCGTGACGATGGTGAGCTATAGCGTGCAGTCGATGCAGCGATGGCAGAGTCACCTTCGCGGACGGTTTTTGCAGAGAAGGCCGCAGTGGACGGATATCGCCATATCGAAGTGCAAGTAGTAGGTGACGGCGTTGACGTCTGTCAGCTTGGGGAACGCGATTGCAGCGTACAACGACGATTTCAGAAGATAGTTGAGGTGGCCCCGTCTCCAATCCTTGACCGAGCTCTGGTACAGCAGGTGCTGGGTGCGGCACTGCGCATGGCGAAGACCATTCGTTACCGTTCGCTAGGTACTGTGGAGTTTCTGGTCAATGAGCAGCAAGGCCGATTCTACTTTCTTGAGATCAATCCACGTCTACAAGTCGAGCATACCATTACAGAGGCGATTCATGGGATCGATCTCGTCCAGATACAGCTGCGACTGGCGCAAGGGAATACGCTTTCGCAGACTGGTTTAGAGCCCGCATCACTAGTAGCTCCTCATCTGTATTCCATGCAGCTACGGTTATGCGCTGAGGATCCCCATGACCGCTTCTCACTCAGCACAGGCAAAGTGACGGAGTTCATGTGTCCTGGTGGCAACGGGGTCAGAGTCGATACCCATGTGAACTCAACTGGTGGGGAACCTGTGACAGTTGGCACCCAATTCGATAATCTACTCGCGAAAGTCATCGTGACCGCATCCAGCTGGGAAGCCACGGTGCTAAAAACTCGTCGAGTGTTAGCAGACACGAGAATCGGCGGTATCCGCACTAATCTAGATCTGCTGCGCGGGATCACCAGTCACGACGACTTTCTGTCCGGCAGAATCGACAATCAATGGTTGGAGTCGCGCCTAACGGAACTCCTGCAAATGGGGAGCCGGGCGGGAACAGGTCACCGCGAACAAGCCCATTCGAAAGCCAGCTTCTCGTCGCTTGTCGGGGATCCAGCATCGAATCCACTCCTTCGCGGCGGCGACGCTTGGTCTATTGTTCTCGAGCCTCTCCACTCTCCCCAGAAGCAACCCCAGGACACGGACGCCCTGCGTCATCATCTCCGGTTGACGCGCGTACTCCAGAACGACTTTCCCTCCTCCTTAGCCGCCGAAGTCGAGTACACCACCTCCACCTCGTCAGCAGCATATCGCCTCCAGCTCGCAGCCACTACAACTGCAGCGTCCGCCTTGGCCTCGTCAACCCAGCGGCGCGGGGACACTCGCAACCCACGACACATTGTCCTCCCGCTTTCCGGCAGGCTGATCGAGATCTTAGTGGCGACCGGCGATCAGATAGCCAAAGACCAGGTCGTGGCCTTTGTCAAGCAAATGAAAATGGAGGTAGAGATTCGCAGCCCCCGCGCGGGCCGTGCGCACTGGGTGTATGAGATGGAAGACGACGAGGACGAGGTAGCAGAAGGCATGTTATTGGTCGAACTGGAGGACAGCGCGGTGAAGGGGAAATTGTGACTTCCTTTGGTGGGGGTATTGCAGAGTGAAAGACAGCCAGCGCGTGCGGTAGACGACACCCACAACATGCAGTCTCTATTCTATAAAAAGGGGAGCCCGCATTCCAGACCCAGGAAATTGACATTCTGCGTGCCATCGAGTCGGAAGAGTCTAGAAACGTTCTAGAGCGTGACCTTGCAGACTGCCACGTACCTTGTTCACATATTTCCATGGTTCCCTTGCATTATGTAGATTGTGGGACAGTGCGATAAATATAGCGCGATCTGCGTGCCTTTCATACGGGAGCTGTGATCCAGGAACAAAAATGTCTTGGTGGAGGGATTTTTTGGCGAAAGAATGAAGCCATCTTCGTCAACACCTAATCTAAACTGTGCTGGGTCTTGAGGTCCTGCCGGTAGGGGAGTAGAGTGAGTTCGTGGAAAGGGTGAAGCTGAACAGAGAGGGATGACCTCATCTGCCGGCGTCGGCTCCACTCCAATTCCTCCCCCGATCGTCACATGCCGCTACGCAGCAGTCAACTACGTAGCAGCAACTCTCCGCACTCACCCTCTACTTCCCTCTCATGGTGTCAATCATACGCAACCTCCATCACGAAAACGTTAAGTCAACGCCAACACCAACATTCCACAAATCGGACCAGCCATGGACGCACTAAACCTCTACATTCTCACCTTCAATTGCGCTCGAAATCTCGTGGACGTCGATCGATTCTCCCACCACTTCTTCGACTCCCTTCCGCTCCCCGACAATCTCAACACCTCCTCCTCATCTGCCCCTCCCCCCAACCTTATCGTACTCTCGCTACAAGAGATCGCGCCGATCGCGTACGCCTTCCTCGGGGGCTCATTCCTGACACCGTACTTCGACACGCTGAGCCAGGTTGTGAATCGCGCGGTCGCGCAGCGCTGGGATGATGTGCATTACGTCAATATCGTGACGGACAACTCTGGGATGACGGGATTGATGGTGTTTGCCCGGTCCGACGTGGCAGAGCAAATAGCCTGGCTCGAGACGGCCCGGATAGGCTTTGGGTTCCAGGAGATGGGCAACAAGGGTGCGGTGGGGGCGCGACTCGGATACCTGCCATCATCATCACCATCATCCCAGCGGGACGGGGAAGGAGGAGTGGAAGAAACACAACAACCCGTAGAGCTGACCTTCGTGGCAGCACATCTCGCGCCGATGGAATGGGCGGTTGAGCGCAGGAATGCGGATTGGCGCAGTCTGGTTGAACGGCTGGTCTTTGAGCGTCAGGATAGCCGTGCCGCCGTCGCGGGTCGGGAGCCTGTCGAGACCGAAGAAAGCGCATTGGAAAGCGCACCCCTGCTCCACGAGCGCTCTGCAGCAGCGGCTTCGCCGGTCGGGCAACAACAACTGCAGCAGCAGCACGATCGCCGGGGCATCTACGTCCCTACGAGTTACCTCTTTCTGGCAGGAGACCTCAATTACCGGACGGCCGACCGACCGCCGCATCCGGGCGATCGGACGAGCAGATTTCCCCGGGTGAATGTAGAGGCGTCGGACCCGCGCCATTACTCGCATCTGCTCCAGGAGGATCAGCTGAGTCGGGAGAGGGCCCAGTCGCGGTGCTTTCAGGGACTGTCGGAGGCGCCGATCAGCTTTCCTCCGACGTACAAGTACAGCCTGGCGGCACGTCAAGCCGTGAGTAGAGCGGTGGGCGGTGATCACGCATTGTCGCAGGATTGGCAGTGGACGGGGACCCGCTGGCCCAGTTGGTGTGACCGTGTGCTGTACCTGGACCAGGCTGGACAGCCCGTCCGGCCGTTGCGCTACGATACGCTGCCGTTGTTTCCAACCTCTGACCATCGTGCCGTCGCGCTCGCGGTCTCCGTCCCGACCCGGCCAATGCGACCAGCAGATGCGCTGGCCCAACGGCCGGCGGCCCCGTTCCCGATCGACCCAGACTGGGCGCGTAGACGAGATGCGGCGCGGCGGAAGGAGCTGGTGGTGGGCTGTGTCGCGTATCTCGGGCTGACCTGGGAGGGCAACGGGGTGTTGGTGGCCACGGTGGTTGGGCTTCTGGGTGCATGGCTCGTGCTTCGCTCCCTGTTGAACGCATGACGAGGCGTCGCGTTGCAGCCTCAGTGTCAGAAGAGAAAATCTGCGACTTGAAACCTCCCCTTATCTTCCCCTTCAGCGCGGAGCCCTGCCCCATGTGGATCAGAGGGGAGAAGAGAGGGGAGGGGGGATTGATCTTCGATCCAGCCAGATGAATAATTGCCGACACGAACGGGCGTGAACTGTGGAAAACGTGATTTGATTCTTAGTCGTTCACCTCAAAATAACCCCCCTGCGACCGTTCGTTCGGGTTTCACGCTCAAACAGTGGACTCCGCGTCCGGCGAATTTGGCGACCTATTTTTTGGCACAAGAGTCTCAGCTAGTTCAATCTGCCCGCCCCAACACGAGACAGACAAGACAAGACAGACAGACAAATCAGTCTAGTCTAGTTCCTTCCTCCTCTTCCTCCCGACCGAGCAGTAGTGCAACCGGACAAGCTCGCCGAAGGTCACGCACCCATGAAGATCCTGATGCACCGTTCACCAGCAGCCTGCATCGGGACTAGAAGCGCAATAGCTTCTAGGCCAGAAGTATAAGTCTCGGGAAGGTCAGGTGAACAGAATGATTTGCAAGGGTGATCTAGACCGGGCGGATTCCGCCCAACCCGTTAGTTTTCCTTCATACAGAGGGAAGCGACAACTGCAGCAGCAGACAAGGATTGGATGTCATGGATAACGGCTCAAACGACCAGGAAGGGCTCGGTGTAATGGACTTAGTAGTAGGTCCCTAAGATCTGAATAAGAGAATCGAGAAAAACGGTCTCCCGTGTTGGACCAAACCAGCCTCACTCATTATTTTGGTCATCAACGTTTATTCATTAGTTGGTTAGAATGCCACTTAGTCATCTACCTATTTGACATCTACAGCATATCACATGACCATCACCAACACGGAAAGGAGTAAGAAAAAGCGAGACAGGGAGGGGTCGAGAGGGGGCATTCAAGACAGGGACAGAGAGAAAAAAGTTCGGCCGGGGTTTTGGAAACTCGGGAGATATTTTTTTCTCCTCTGATGGGGCCTGAATCTTTAGTCTCGAAGATGGAGCTCGATTGTGGATAGACCCGCGCGCGGTAGAAAAGACTGCCTGCCACATGTAAAGAGTTCTAGAGACTTAAATCCTCGATAAGCTCGACCTTTCGCTCTTCGCTAGTGTATCGAGTTACGGATAAGCAAACTAGATGTTGCGAGGGTCGGAAGCATGCGCTTGCTTTCGCCTTGTCTTGTGGATCGGGTACTCCGTACTATAGGAGGGATTGTACTCATATGAGGACAGCAAGGCCAAACAGGCGGCAATGTACATTGAGACATTACCACCCGTAGTAGTAATCAACGGGGGGGAAAAAAAAAGAAGACATGCTCAGCGCCCGTCGAAGGGCGGAAGAAAGACCAGAAAAAAAGAGGAATGGAGCCCAAATTAACAACAAGGGTCTGTCTGCCCTGTCTGTCTTGTCTTGTCTATTTGGGTCCGCGCTCTTTTGCCCTCCACTGGTGAAACCGATTCGGGCCAGCAGCAAGCCAGGAAGGGGACTGACGGGACCCAAGGCTCGAGAGTTATCCCGGTCGCTTAAGTTGACTCGACTCAACTACGATCTATGTACTCCGTAGTGACCACTCATAGTCACTGTGAAAAGCAACAACTTAGACGGAGGACGGAGGTCGGGATACGGAAATTGACCCTATCTGCATTATCCTGAAACGGAAGTCTTAATGAGCTGGGCCGTTGGGAGTCGAGATTAATTAGCCATGATTTTTTTTCCCTTGTTCATTTCCCTTCGCGAAGCGATTGCGCTGCGGGGGTCGGTTGATTGATTAACTGATTTTATTTGATATTAATCGATTTACATCGTACGACGACGGCGATCTTGTCAAAACTACAAGAGTCGGGTGGTGGAGAGTGAGGTGACATGAACAAAGGATATTATGTTCCTGATAACAATGCAGATATGTACCCTGTACCCTGTAACGTACCCTGTGCCCTGACCGACCCTGATCTCGAACGGTTAGCCTTGCCGAATTGCGTGAGAGCTTAAAATCACTCGCTCACTTAGAGGAAAGAAAAAGGGAGAGATGCGGAATGCCGGGATGATGTGGCAAGGTATGTAGATATGATATGTTGTTTGTCAAAATTCAAATCGGGAGGGTGGAGGCCCTCCGAGGTCCAGAAATTGATTGTTCTGGAACTGGTCGGGAATGAGGGATTGCGATTGTGACATCCAGCCGAAGCATGGACTACCATCACCGTCCAGGTACTGTAGCACTGCACAAGCATCCAGCCCATGGAACACTGCTACAGAGAATTGTCCCTCAAAGAGTAATTGCACATGATCACCTAGGCTGGGTCAAGTGACCTTGCCAGCTAAGACTCATATGTGTAATCACCTTTGATCGCCCGTGGATTGTTGCTTGCCGAAAGTTCTGGACCTTCTCGCCGGAATGCCTTACCTTAGGATTAGGATTAAGGATTTGACCGTTCCAGGTGTCATCCATCTTACTTAGTACTGTACAGTAACTTACTTACTGTGCTCTGCCTCGGAAGAAAAAAAAAGATGAGGCTCAGAGACGAACTAACCAATCAGTTGCAGACTGATCCCTGCACTCTCGTTGAACACTTTCTTTCGAGGCTTGGGAGGCTTGGGAGGCTTGGAGGCTTGGAGTACCTTATGGACTATTAGCCTCATGCACTCATGCAGTCATGCAGTCATTCATGCCAATCAACCAGGATTAGACGGATTTACGGCTTACAAGCTGAGGGTTTGCTGGGAATGACGGCGGGCGGCGGATGCTGACTGTTCCACCTTCAGCCAACCATCATCGTCAGTCGCTGACCGACCGACTGGGACCGCGGTTACTTACGGCCTAGTCTTGCTTACCCGTGGTCAAAGAAGATGGACTGTATGCAGTCAGCATCAGCATTACTAC